AATATATAATTCTCTTGGCCACCATCCAGGCTTCTTACTTGTTTCCTCCAAAATCCATGAAACGCAAGGAAAGTTAGCAGGCCTGGTTTTGGCACACGTGCAGCAGCAATAATTCAACTCTCGTGTCTGTCTGGAACCAAGTCAGAGTTCCCCTCTCCTATGACCATGGTACCAGACTGTGAGCTCTGGTGTGGTTTTTTCTTTCCTATTGTCCAGCTGTATCTTTATCAAGACAATTTTGCAGCTACAGTCTTTAGTACAGTTATCCTGTAAAATGTGGTATATCAAAATGTTATTGGACATTATTAAACATTATGGCTTTACCTAATGACACCTTGTGTGTAGATCCCTTAATAATAAGCTTGACTTATAACTTGCAACACATTTACTGTACGTCCAAGGAGCACGTTTCTATAGTTGTCATTCCAGTCTTCTTTTGGCTGCTCAATCATCAATCATATATCAGCATAATGATGCTAATTGATGATTTTGCTGCATGTAAATGAGCAAAAGTGTGATGGTAAGCTTCCTAATTTCCCTTTCATGTAGATAGCAGCATCAGCATGCGTAGGCAGCAAAGGAACAAGTAAAGGTTTATTCTAGCTGAAAAGCAATGAGACACAACATTTTGGCTGTGGAGCCTTCTTCAGGTGCCTTCTTCAACCACACCTGAAGAAGGCTCCACAGGCGAAACGTTGTGTCTCTTTGCTTTTCTATTCTTTTCAGCATGGAATAAAACTTTACTTGTTATTTCCCTTTGTTCCACTTTCAAATCGTGCACCCTGTGCTTCAGGAACTAAAAGTAAACAAAGGCAGTATAGACAGTATATTGAACTCTGTCTACAATGTCTATTTTTAGCAACTTAGCCAGGGGGGGTGCTTCCTTTCCCACAATGCAACACATGCACAACACCTAACCCCCACCCCCTTCTCCTTTTCAGCCTCCTGTTAGGGACAGCTTGTTTGTGGCAAAGCTTCCAAGAGACAGATCCCAGTGTGGGTCATGTTTCGGAGTGGAGTGTTACAGGGAGGCGCTGGGAGCCAGTGGCTGAGGCGGTAGATTGTTTGGATATCTGGAACCGGGGGCTATCTGGGCCTGCCAGTCGAGATACAATGCTTGGACACTCTGGTGACTGTATGAGAAGTGAAAACACCAGGAATTTGTCACACAAGGACTCTTTTGACTCTAGGATCTCGGAAGAACCCAGAGTTTGAAGTGTCTCCTGGTCTTTTCCAGTGAGTGGCGCAGGTGGCAGTGGAGTCGGTAGTGACAGAGTCGTATCTTCTGAGAGGAGCGGCAGTCGGGGCTCCTTGTTTCTCTTTCTTTCAAACTCCTTCCAATATGATGATTAAGGAGACCTCTTTAAGGAGAGATCCCGATCTGAGGGGAGAGCTGGCTTTCTTGGCCAGAGGCTGTGATTTTGTTCTGCCGTCCCGCTTTAAGAAGAGGCTCAAGTCTTTCCAGCAAGCACAGGTTAGTGTGGGCTCAGCCGGCTTTAAAGACTCTGTGTATCATTCGCTCTGAAACCACTACTGCTGCGAACACTTGCATGCCATTAAAGACAAACTATTTGCGGGCAGATACCAACGGGTTTATTAATAGCTCTGAGGACTGTGAATACAGTGTCAAAATCAATCTGGCCAGCAGATCTTCGGGGGAGAGAGCAGAGGCCTGGAAACCACTGATATAGCTGTCACATTAAATACATGTGCATGTTTCTGTGTGTTTATCTGCTGTTTTTTTATAATATTGGCATCGCTTACAGCATAGGGCCCATGTTTCAGTGCACAAATACAACATTACTAAAAACACTGGAGAAATGTAGACACAGGGGGCATTTTATGAACATCTCGTTAAGCTGATATTAGTAGTGTTGCAACAGGTGTCCTCCTCGCAACAAATCAGATTTTTATGTTTATGATAAATTATAAATAGATTAAAATCAGCAGCTATTCCTATTTTTTCAAGAAAAAAGGTTGACCTTTACTTAGATTTAAAGCCAAAAACTGTTGTCTTCTTTTTATTCAGGTAGCATTGTGTCTGTAATCTGCGTGGTTAATGCTGATGAATAGAGCCTTTTAGTGAATTTGAAACAATCACTGCTTTTTATAAATAATATGAATTAAGCATGTGCGAATTCTAATGGGAAAATCTCTTCTTCTGGCCCAAATAGGTGTAGGTACTGAAAAATACTTTGTTTTACTAAGAGATACAACTCTTTGGAGATGTTGAGAAACCTGAAACAAAGAAAAAAACAAAAGTGTGCAGAGCATTGTGGATTAAGGAAATTATTACAGATGCTTTATCCTTTATCAATGGCATGGTGAATGATTTGACATATATGAGTCTTGTGCTTATTTTCTATCTTTGAGTCTTCTCATATTCATCTATTAATCATTGTTATTTTGGGAGACTGATTCTATTGTTTCACAGACAGAATCCATTATGATTTATATTAAAATAATATAGACATCAAATCTGATGCTTATTTTTATTGCACACTGAATTCTAGCAAGGTCTCTGATGCATAAATATTTGAGTGAGTTTGAATCAAAGTGCTTGCTCTGTCTACACAGGCTGACAGCTGAAGTGAAGGAATACTCATATTAATACTACCAAGCACTTTCTATTTAATCCCAAGAAAGCTGATACAGCATTTTGTATTGATAACACCGTGTTCTTCGATGTTGCATTTATAGTACCGCTCTGTAACATATTATTTCACTGAGCATCTGATTGTACAGCTTGCTCAAAATGAAACACCTCTTTTATTCATGTTAACTCGTGTAGCTGACCATGCCCCCTTTCTAATAACTGGGCAGTACTGCCTGATTCTTCAAGATCAAATATCCTGGATGTGATTGCAGCACAAGGCAATGACTTGGCTCCTTGTTCATATTCTGCAGGATCTCCTAAATACATGCTTGCACATGTTTGCCAGTATAACTACATTTCTTCTCAAATAGCTCAAGCAAACATCAATAAAACTATGAAACAGTAATTATTTTAAATAAGACTTTTGAGAAAAAAGTTTTTAAAAACTGGGTCACGAAATTGACTTTTTACAAGTCATTGCTATTTCATTTATGTGATGCAGTTAAAATTAATTTGTTCATGTCCAGTACTATTAAAACTGGTATTAATATACCATCGTATTTCATTCGTGGTCCATTGTTGTGAGATTGAAACTGTGAATGAAATATTGAGTCATTTACTGAAATTAACATTTTATACATTTGGATGGTAAGCATTAAGGATATATTTACCTGTCCACATTTGTTCTTTATCATGAAAAATAACCCTCGCCTACAAGTACACTTGCTCCAGATACTGTAGATGATGTGTGTATCAATGTGTGAAAGTATCACAGCATTCCTCCTGTAATATTGTATAACATGAAAATCTTGTTGGCAATGAAACACTATCATCACTGCACAATAACTATGATTACAATATCCAGATTTTTCTTCCTGCATCTTGCAAAAGCTTTAGTGTGAACCAAGACCTGTACACTGTCCTGCACTAGGTTCTTTACTACGAAAATGGACACACTACTCTGGTGATTCATTGAGACTCCAAACCATGATTCAAAATGCTACTGTCTTTCCCTTTTCGTGATGTACTTCTTCAGTACAGAAAAGGATGCTACAAATAGAAACTGTGCTATGGTTTAAACTCAGTAATGTGCACTGTGTATTTATCAACAGGACATTGAAAATGATATATTTTTTTCTGAATGAATCAAATGATCATTAACGGGTCCAAGTCTGAAGTAAAGTGCTATATTCTATGGGGAGCAATATTCATTTGTCTTGTATTTTCTATTTTTTAATTTGTACTCTGCTCTTTATTAAAATAAACATGCTTAAAGCATTTACAGTTCACAGAGATAACCCATTATTGAGTTAAAAAATGTTCTGAAGGCATTATATAGAATAATGTGTTGAGACAGAATACAATTTTTACCACTAGGAAAACATAGAACCAGGCTTAATATTAATATTTCAATTCTATATTACTAGAAATTCAGTCAAGGTAATACTTTTACCATATAATGTAAAGGAAAAAATAGTACTGTGCTTTCATAAACAGAACCTATACTCTTGTGAGAGCATTGAAATTAGTCACTTTACACTTTAACCTGTACTATAACATGATGACTGGATATCATTATTGCTAGTTTTCTAGGCTCTAGAGAAACCCTAACAGTGATACACTGAGTGATACTCTGAAATTATATACCACCACAAAGAGTACATCACTCAGTGATAAACGTGTAACTGCAATCCCCAGTACGTTTTCCTCGGCAGTTATTCGCCTAGTTTACTGGGGAGAATATTAGGATTTTTGTTTTTATTTTGAAAACAAATACAACCTGAAAGGAATTTTGTAGAGTGCCACCACTGAGCCAAATGTACTTACATTTACTATTTTAGTGCATGATGACTGAAGATAATTTATTAAATTCAATATATACAGTAGCACCTGCTACTTTGCAGGAGCTACGCCAACCTCTTTCACTGTTAAACAATGCAGTAAAACAATATGAATGATAGAGTAAGAAAACCCCCTTGTTAACGTAGTAAATTGGATAACTCCATGTGGGGAAATAAGCATCTGCTTTCTAAAATTTGTTTAAAAAAATTCTGTTTATAAAACAAGATATAGTGTGAAATACATTTGCCAATATTTTTTTAAGTACTTGAAGGTGAAACCTGTTTATTTCACCCCCATTAGTTACCAACCAGTCAAGCCGGTTAAACTCACCTGCTTGTGATCTTGTCAACTGTTGAAGTTGACAGTTGGGGAGTTGTTTCTAACAGGTGGGGTGAATACAGTCTTACAACTATTTAAGCAACATTCATATATGGGTCTAGAACTGCTCAGGTACAGTTTTAGTTAGCATGATATGATCCAAAAGGATGACCGGCGTAGACCATAAGGATCACAAGTCTTCTTCTTTTGTCTCAAACTCTTTTCTTGTTTCTTCCTCTGCCAGGTCCAAAACAAGCAAGAAAAGAAACCCGGAACCCCGCCCCCAGCCCCAACAAGCTCCACCCCCAGCCCACGACCTCCGACCCCTCCTCCTGCCCACAAAGTGGTGGTTGCCACCTCCCTGTCTGTAAACATTCCACGCTTCTATTTCCCCAAGGGACTTCCAAACTGCAGTGCCAACCTCGATGAGACCATTGCCAAAATTGAAGCAGCATTCACAGAGTTTGAGGAAGAAAAGGCTGATATTTACGAAATGGGAAAGATTGCTAAGGTATGGCGTTCTCAGAGAAAGCAATCTGCAATTATGTCTATTTGTTAGGTTGGTTTTTAATGACCTTTGGTTGTAATTAATACATTTTATAGCACTGCTTTTTTTTTGTTTTGTTGTGTTTTATCTTTTACTTTAATAATAAAAAAAGCAGTAACAGTCAGAAAGAACAACAGCAACATTTTAACAAATACCACCCTCCCTCCTCCCTACAGCGCCAATTTAAAAAAGAATGTGAGGTGTGTTTTATGAAGATCCCGCTCTACAAAGTTGTACTCTTTGGCCACAGATTTCTAATGTTTACACATCAAATACAGGTGTCGGCCTTTGTGTCACAAAAATACACTCAACCATCGTTGTGAATTAGGTTTTAAGAGCTGTGTCATAAGAACTCCGGTCAACCCTGTTGCTACTCATAGAAATGGGTCTTGTGTCTCTGGCAACTCTGCTTGCTCCTTATGATTCACTGCAGATTCAGTCTCACAATACGACACTTCTGTTCTGAACAACTCCAGGCTCTGCATAATACAATGCATCATGCAGCTCCCTTGTTATCTTTGGCAACAGTGCTAAAAATAAAAAGTTGTTCCTAGTTTAAGCTTGACCTCGTAGCACCAATTATCCCTTTAAAATCCTTTTCAAATTAGTCACTTACAGCAGCAGGGTAAACACAGCTGAAAAAAGCTGATCTTCACCTCATGACTACAATCATGCTAAAGAGTTTTTCCTGTTTGATTTTAAAAATGCTGACAAAACTGCAAGGGTTGTCACATCCCAGCCTCCCCTTCAGCAGTTCAGTGTGTCAGGTGGGAATACTGGGAAGGACCCAGAGGGGAGGTGTTGAGATATGCACACTAAAACTGCAACACTCTTGTTTTAATGAACTCCACAATGTATTCTGTATTCTTACTTACACGTACGAATCTCAGAACACAGGACAGTGTACCATTTGAATGAACCCTATCCACCTGTAACTAAACACCTGCAGTGCAGTAAAAGTATTTTAAAGGAGCCTATCCCATCAGCCCATAAGGTGAGACTGAGAGGATACAACTGCTCTCCCCCTGGAGAGGACACCAGTTCACTGCAGGGACAGAAAGACACAATAGACAATAGCTAATTGAACACTGCCAGCATGTCTTTGCACGGTGGTAGAAGGCTCTTGGTGAAAATCTATGTGAACATTGGACACTCGTGCAAATGCCACACAGTCAGAACTCAAAGCCAGAATCGAATCTGACACCCTGGTGCTTAGAGGCAGCAGTACAATGTACAACAGCGCTGTGCCATCCCAACCTTTTCCATACATTGACACAATAATATTGGTATAAGAATGGCTCAGGGCATTCAATTAATGTTGGAACGGTGTTTCTGAATGTGGACAACTTGATAGTTCCCCAAGCTATGACAGGCTGAATCTTTTTTAGCATCTTTACTTATGTTTGTTTACTCCTATATTCACATTTGAGAATTCTAGAGAAACATAGGAATAACTTTTTTTCTGGACATCCAAATAGTTATGTATGCATTGACACTAAATATATTTCCACTACTGTTTTATGCGATTCTGACAAGTTTTACCATCGCTTGTCTATGTACAGAATCTATATGTGCACACTACAGGCTACAGCAATCCTGACTTCTACACAGAATAGATTTGAAATTTCTTCTTCAGGCATGCAACTGTCCACTGTACTGGAAGGCCCCCATGTTCAATGGCACTGGAGGTGAAAGAACAGGATTTGTGTCCGTCCACGGATTTATTGCAACATGGAGAAAGTAAGAAACCTGATCTGATCATCTCTCTACGCTGTGTACCTAATGTGATGGATTTTGTAGACTAATGAATAAGAAATGAAAAAGTATAAGAACAAAAGTAGCTAAATTCTAAGTACTTTTTAAAATATACAACAGGACAGCTGTGCAGTTTTCTGTCTCTTTAGCACGTACTCACACAATATTTCAAGGTAAGTATTTAATTGATTTTAAATTACCCAACAAACTTATCTGAAGGAGAATTAGATCTGTATGTGAGCATATGATTTAGGTCAGTACAACTGTCTGACCATTTCTAACATTTGAGCTTTTGTATTGAAGGCATTGGTCTGAAAGTAAGAAAAGGGAATAATGTCACATGTCTGAGGGTCTTTGTACAGGTTCGTAAACTGACTGCATTCATTGCAGGTTGTTACTCAGCTGCTATGATGATGCATCAAAGTTTGTTTACCTGTTGGCCAAACCAGGCTACAACTACCTTGAGCAGGAAGACTTCATCCCACTGTTACAGGTGATACTACTGCACAATCACTGCTTTACAGTTTAGACCACAATTCTTAATGGGCATAATAAAACATTCATCTGAACTATTGCTATGAACCCTTGTCATTTGCACAAGGGTTTGTGCATCTCGTTATATTGTATGGTGGTTGGGAAGAGTTATGACTGTTTTAGCCTCATTCAAGTAAAGCCTCACTGATATGCCAAAAGACATGTCTGTTTTTTGGTGTGTTATTCACAGGAGTAGCTTTAGTTTGTTGCCGTTGTCAGATCTTAGTCTGTGACAAAAATCACAGTCCCATTGTACGTTGATACCACAGACATTTACTTTCCTTCCATCAATGCTTTCGTTGGTATAGAAGTATAATATACAGTATAGTATAATGTTATTATTTAGCTATGTAATGTACTTGAAAAACAATCTTCTCCTTACTGAAAGAATTCAATCCCTATGAATTCAACCCCTAGGGTTTCTATCACTGATTAGTGACATAGAGACTGACATAGACAAAAATTGAACAGCTAAGATATACAAAATCAAACAATGCACTTGTTTGTTGTATATTAGGTTTAATGCTAAATGCTAAAACAGCCTTGTGCTGTATTTCACATGCCTGGAGTTCCAAACTATTACTGTTATTATCAATAGAAGCAGCTGAATACTGGTGTGCTCAGTAAAGGAGGGCAATCAATATGGTCATGTTTGCATGCTTCAAGGGCAAACACCAATAAAATCTATGATAACTGCTCTTGAAACCCTCACTGTGAGAGCTCACTGTGTGAATTCAGGATTTGTAATCAAGTGAAATGCTTTAATGCTCTTTCGTTTCAGGATGTGGTTGACACTCACCCAGGTCTGACATTTTTGAAGGATGCTCCTGAGTTCCATTCCCGCTACATTACCACGGTATGTCTCTGCTGTTAATGTTAGTACAGTATGTATTGAACCTCAGGGCTCAGAGCTGGAATGCCAGTGTTACAGGTCCTGGCGGTTTCCAAGTGGTTTGACAGGTTACAGGTACATGTACTTGCACAGATCTCAGGTTGAGGTTGCTGATATAGTCGCAGCTAGTTCAAGCCTGGGTCATGTCACAAGGTACTGAGAATCCCAAGGAAATGGTGCACCACTGGCAACCTTCCACAGGTGCAGGGCGGGATTAGTTTTCCTGGGATCTCTTGGCTTTCTTGCCAACATATGTGACACCCAAATCAGGCGTGCAGTGATGTCTGCGAAAGATTCCCCTCTCCTCCAATCAGAGCGGCCTCTACTGTCAGGTACTGTGGAGTGTGCAGTGCCCCATGATAACAGGGCTCTGCCAGGTGAGCAGGTGTGTCTCACTCTCTCCAAAATGGGAGTCAATCACCTGTGAAGTGCTGAGTCTTAAAACAATTGTAGATTCCAACTTGAGTGCAAAAACAGTACTATATTTTTAAGATGATTCACATTTTAAAAACATAATACTGTGTCTCAGGAACAATGCATTTCTTATATTATTGAAGTTCTGTTTTGCGTAATATCCACAGTATTCTTTTTACAGTTATAATCTCTTAACTTTATTAAAGAGGGATGAAACAAGATTTATTGTTTTACTAATGAGACCATTACTATATGAATGTACACAAGGTCTGTACACAAGAAATTAAATTGAGATTGATTCCTCATCTGTACAATGAGAGAATTTGTCTCCCAATGTCTGAGACACCATCGCTAAAAACAACACCTTATGCTTCTAAACGTATTCATGTGCCAGACATTTCTGGCAAGTATCTGTTTCAGTGCCTGCTGCCAAAGAGGAGTACAGTGCTTAGAATTCCAAGTTAAAACCCTGTCCTGCTGTCACAGTTTTCTGTGAAAGGTCAGCACTGCCCTACCTGAGTGAAATAACCTCTAGAAAACACACAGTGTGGGCTGTGACAGTCTCCAGGATAGCAGTAACAAGGGCCATGACATCATGGAAAGAATGATGGCACTGACAGATGAGGATGGCAGCCCTGGAGTTGTCCATATTTAGGCGCTTCCTCTGGACATTGAAGTCAGGCTTGTCAATCCTCAGAGCAGGACTTATGGGCTACCAGGAAATGGAGCTTTATCAAGTCTGCACTCTTCAGTCCAATATGAAACCCAGCCCCTGAAATGGCTCGTGCTAATACACCTTGACATTTTTAATACTAGGTGGAACATCTCACATCTCTTCACATCTCTTCTCTCTAGAGAAGAAATTGGAGCTGCCTGGTTCTCACTTGTACTCTTAAAATAATTTGCCGTCGGTGTGTGGGAAACGTTTATCCCTTTATAAAAAAGAATTTAAGGTTACAGCAGAGGCAAATCATTTTGAATACAGTGGGATCTTACCACGTAATGCAGGTGTTTTACGTTTCTAGGGAGGAAATAAAATCCAGAAAGCCATAGGTACAAATGAATAAGTAGTAATAACTTTTTTTTTCTTGTGCAGTAGCATTTTTGTAACAGGATTTAAAGACTTTAAGGAAAAAAAAGATAGGATATTTGCTATAAGAGAGAAGACAACTAAACATTGATCTGTGTTTATATTAAACTCAGTGGGCTGAAGGTCCCCAAAAAAGCAGACTGTCACACTGCACAGCGGAGATAGAACGCTGCACACGCATCTTGTTTTTTACTAACTTAAGAATGGATGTGAAAATGGGTATTAAAATCATAAAAATTGTGTTGTTTGTTAGAGTTTGAGGTGCCACATCAGTGCCATGAGTAAGGTATGTGGTGTGTAACGCAGAGATTGTACTCATGGCTGGGAGCAGGTTGTCATTCTATCTCTATTTCAACTGCAGCATGCGTTTCTTTTGCCTGTGTGTGTCTGTGGGTGTCAGTCTGACTCTTCTGTTTTTGTGGTGCCCTGTTCATCCAGGTGATTCAGAGGATATTCTACACAGTCAACCGATCCTGGTCAGGAAGAATCACCATGACAGAGCTACGAAAAAGCAACTTCCTGCAAGTATGCTCATCGACTTCCCTACATTTCAAGCCTGCAGTTGTCCAAGTCTAAATTCAAGAAAGCTGAATGAGGCTATGTCAGAAACAATTGGTTAAAATTTAAAACAGTGCCTTAAAATATCTACATTTTATGCAGTCTACCTCTGTAAACAAGGTCAAATGAAAAACATTGAAAATAAGAACAAACATCTATTGGCTTGCTCAGATAATAGTGTTTTCCAAACCATTAGCATGAACTAGAAAAAGAAGATGTCAAATTGCCATGAACATTCTTTTTTCCGTGAACTCCACACCTCTGAAAATCTCAATTTTCAGCAATGCTTAATTTCGTACTGAAACCAGTGCTGATTCATTTGCAGCACTTCAGGATCTCTACATTAGAAGATAATAAGATTAACATGCTGTCTGCTTTGCCTCAGACTCTAGCGCTGTTGGAGGAAGAAGATGATATCAACCAGATCACAGATTATTTTTCGTACGAGCACTTTTATGTGATTTACTGTAAATTCTGGGAACTGGACACTGACCATGACCTGTTCATTGACCAGAAGGACCTGGCCCGATATAATGACCATGGTGAGTGGAGAATTAATCGACCAGATTGATTGTCATCGCATTTCTTTATACTTGCCGATACAATGATAAGCTTTAATGTGACACCACAAAGAGAAGCTGTTGAGATATAGATATAATCCCTACAATGTTATTTTGTGTCACTGATATTACTGGCTAAAATTAAATTACATGCACAGTACGCTTGTGCTACACACTTGATTTCCTTGAGGGATGCAAACAATTCTTCCTAGGACCTAGACTGAGTTGTAAAATGTCAAATTAACAAGAAACCACCTCATAAAGAGAATTACCCTGTGGAAATTATTCTTTAAACTGTGTTGCAGTGTCTCACTTAAAGTACCTGTGAAGTTGTAAATGCTTCTAAGTGTGTATCTCAAATGCTTTGTAAGTGAATTACTGTAAAAACAAGAGGATCATTGTATGTGGTATATACACCCTTGAGAACCTCTCAAGGTTTAATTGAATTCTATACTGTTTACCTTGGAAATACTTCATAACCTTAGCCAAAAGTGAGCTTTGCTGTTGTAATGGATACTCATAAACACCTGAAATTATGCACCTTTTGATTTCCTTTTCCTTTTCTGGCAGCTTCTTCAAATAGAATAATAGAACGAATATTCTCTGGAGCAGTCACAAGGTACAGTCGAGAGTCAGCCCAAGGAAAATAACTTTCTTTCATGTGGTTGCTTCATTACAGTTCTTTCCTGGTGTAAAAATGTAAAAAGGGTTTTGGCACATTTAAAAGGCAATATAAAATGTATTGTTGCTGGTTACACATTATTGTCTGTTTTCATAGCTCTGTTTCAGCTACAACATACCCATCATAAACAAGGACAAGGATTGGAATAATAGTACAGGTGTAAATTATAGTAAATGCATGTGTGAAAGTGGAACATATTTTGTAGAGGGGCTGTCCTTAGCTGTTTCAACAGGCATGCCTTTCACTGATTTATTTTATCTAGGGTGCTGTTGTCTGAGTCGTTCTTTTTCATCATAGGGGAAACTCAGTGCAGAAGGAAGGCAGAATGAGTTACGCAGACTTTGTGTGGTTCCTCATCTCTGAAGAGGATAAGAAAAATCCCACAAGGTAACTCCAGCATACAGTGTAAAAGCAACAGACTTAAAACACATCTTGCCACCACACTGTCACTCTAGAGCACATTTCTGGGCAGTAGATATCCATCCATTTTCTAATCACTACTTCCAATTTAGGGTCAAAGGGAGGCCAAAGCCTATTCTGTCAAGCCACAGTACACCTTGGATAGTGCGCCAGTCCACTGTACTCAAACGAACATACAGATGACAAACCAACTCCAGCCAGATAGCACCCCAGGTTTAGAATTGAATCCAGGGCCCCAGTTCTCTGAGGCAACAATGCTCACCACTGCACCACTGCGCCATGAATAGGAAAAACCTCAAATTCCTTGAGTAACAGTAAACAATTTTAAAAGAACTATGCAACAAATGCTTTGATTTTTGTCATCTTATAATGAAGTAGAAATTAGTGTATAATAGGACATAACAACAGTCAAGTTTTTAACACCTAGGGAATGGAGGCTGTACAAAACTGAAATGTTTGGAACTCATTCTTCATTCTTTCCCAGTCCTTTTAAGTCCAAGCTGATGTAATGCTAATATGTTAATACTTTAAAAAGCCTTGGAAGGTAGTTATGCAGAAGTAAAATATCAAATTTAACTGAATTTGTAGCACAAGCACTTATCTACATTCCTTTTTCACATTTCCTAACTTTTCCCTCCATTTTTTTTTTAACTTAAGTCATTTTGCAGTGGGCATCTACAGTTACTGTGTTTCAATTTATCAGGCTGTTCTCCTCTGCGTCTCTTTTAAAGTGGCACCAGTCTTCACTTCTGAGACTTTGTAATACCGAAAACAAAAGATTAAAAATGAGAAAATAGTTTTGTAAAGTGCTGTAAAACGTCCTTATTAAAAGAAAATGACGCTACTGAACATTCTAGTCTTTATCGCGGGAACGTATCCGGCTTTAACTTGACTGTGCTTCCCTGCACCTATATATCTGTGGGATATAGCGTTCTGTACTTCCAGACTTTGCATTTCATGCCTCTGTGTTTGAGAGCGGGTCTGTGCTTGCAGTGTGGAGTACTGGTTCCGGTGCATGGACCTGGATGGAGACGGAGTGCTGTCCATGTATGAACTGGAGCACTTCTACGAGGAGCAGTGCGAGAGAATGGAGGGCATGGGCATCGAGCCGCTGCCCTTCCACGACCTGCTCTGTCAGATGCTCGACTTAGTCAAGCCGGAGCAACAAGGTAAAGGAATCTTGTGCTCCGGCTCCTTTCCAGTTTCCCCTTTCACTTCCAGACATGAAAAGAAGTTATGGTGTAAGAAGTAATTATCTTGGGGTTTTTTACATTCATTTAAATATGGTTCTGAGGATTATTCTTTGCTGTTTCTTGCCAGCTTATTGTAGATTTGCTCTGATTTCTCCCTTGATATCACTCCTGAGGAATTACCTGGGGTGCCTCTGAGTGATTGGGATGGGAAAGGCCCTTCGTTCCCTGTCAAACTACAGTACATTTTATGTCTCAGTAATGGGCTCTGAAATACTGTTTTGTGCTTGTAGATTTTACTCTGTCTGTCTTACCGTTGTGACGGATTGTTCTTGTAGGTAGGATAACCCTTCATGACCTGAAGCGTTGCAGAATGGCACATATATTCTATGACACCTTCTTTAACCTGGAGAAGTACCTGGACCACGAGCAGAGAGATCCCTTTGCAGTGCAAAAGGTGAGATAAGCCTTGGGTTTGTTACTTGCTGTCAGTAACCAAAAGCTTGTGACACTTACAATTATGTGAACAAGTAGAAGATAATGTGCAATATTTTACCGCTGTGGGTCATTAACTTGTTGAGTGTGTAAACACCTTCATCCTTGAAGTGAAATATAAACCCCCACTGTGTATTGTGTAAATGTATTGTGTATTTTGTGTAACAGAAGTGAGGCCAGCAGTTGAAGGTTCCAACAGCGAGTCTGATAGAGAACACTGTCTCTCCCCAACCTTTTTTTTCCCCCTGAAAACATCACCAAGATTGAAAGACTGAACTGGATCAGAGGTCTAAAGCATACTGGGTGGCATAGCTATGACAGAAAAAAAGAGCTAAGGCCAATCTCTCTGTGTTTTAGGATGCTGACAGTGAAGGAGGTCCAGAGCCCTCAGACTGGGATAAGTATGCAGCTGAAGAATATGAGATCCTGGTAGCAGAAGAGTCAGCAAACGAGCAGCTGCAGGAAGGGTAAACACACAGTTCGCCGAAGACATTTTGTCTGTCCTGGACTAATTCACTTCAAGATTTTTCATTCAACATTTTTGTAGCCATCAAGACAGACCTCTCTGGGGTCAGGCAAACTGGTCACTGCACATAAATATACAGTATGGTAGGAGCACAGGAAGAAAATACACAGTGCAGCCTGATCATACATAAAACTAGCTGGATCTGTCATTTCAAAAAGCAACAAAGTAGCCTGTTCATCTGCTGGTAGGTAGAATTCCAGAGAATCCCTTAACCAAAGCAGGTATCCATCTGTCTTTTCACTGAAGGTTCCCTCCTGTGTCAGCTCGGAAAATGTTGCATTTACAGCAACTTAAACATAATTTATAACAATTTAAACATCCATGGAATTATACATAAAACTGCAATATTTGTGAAATAAAAATACTAGCCCCAACAGTTTTGAAATGTGTGTAGAAGTAATTCTTTCTTGTTTGTTTAATCTTTATAGCTCTTTTGAGGATGATTATGAATCTGATGAGCTTACCGTCCCACCAGAAATTGGAAACAAGATGGACAAACTTGTCATTTCTGACCTATCGGCCTGAACAGTAAGAGTAGCACTGAAGCCAATTAGAAACGCCCACTGAAACTGACCGTTGTCCAGCCAGCCTCAAGAAGGGAAAACATCCTGTTTTAGTATTTTCAAGCAGTTTTCTTTGTTCCTTTGGAAGGGAATTATGTCAAAAAGTCTTTGTGTGTATGCAATAGAGCTGTGTCTAAACCAAATGGCTTTTTGTTTTGTGCAATTATGTCTTAATTTGTAGATCTAGTCAGTTTCTATTCTTTGTTAGACAATAAGTGTGTCATTCACCATGAACTCCTTTAATGGTTTCTACAGCTAATCTTCTGTCATGACTTCAGACATGACCACACAATAAAAGGCTTTAGACTGTAGTTTACAACAGAGGTTTTATCAATTAAGGCAGATGGCAGACAGGTCTACACCTTGAGGTCTAAAAGGGCACAAGGGTTGCTGCAGTTTAGTGCAGGAGACTTGGAGATTTTCACATGCAGAACATATAAGATGTGAAATACACAAGGAATTACATCATAGCTTAGGAGGTTGTCTCAATTTTGTACATGAACAACTGGTTTCTTCTTTGACGTTTAACACCACCTTGTGGTCAAAAGTGATAGTAAATTGGATATTGCCATGGGAAATTTGTAGACAGGTCTGGTGCTAAAAATGTCCAGTGTGTAGTCAATATGCACTACCCAGTCAGTTCTTTTGTGTTTGAATTGTCTTCACATAGGGCTTGGATGTCTGTAAGTGATATGTGTCTTTGCTCATCTTTATTTTTTTAAACCAGGATATATTCCTTACAAAAAAGCTTATTCCCACACTGCCAGCTTTTCTTACTGTGTAGTCACAGAGTTTACGTTTCTGTCACTATTTTCACAAATTCATGTGTTGAATATGTTCATATTGCATACTTGTTCATAATTTAAATACAAATCTTATATTGGAAGCGGAAAGATAAGCTAAATCATGTTTTCAGTAAACCTAGAAAAATAATTTCCACTTTAAAAGCTTTGGATTATATATTTTACTGCTGTTTTCTTTTAAGCCTCAAGACAGGGATTGAGAGATCTTTTTCCAAGACCATGATACACTTTTTGTTTAATAAAAAATTGTGGCTGAAAAATTGAACAAGAAACGTGGAACGAGATATATTGCTGTGTTTATGACATCAGGGCAAAGTAAATTGCTAGCATCAGTCTTCTGCTGGAGAACAGTGCAGTTCAAACTGTACTTAATCATTCTGACTGTGAATATTATATATATTGATATATCCTGGGGATGTGTTATACTTGCGGATAGCAAATGGTACTGATCTAAAATCAACATTAGGCATTGGATGTGTTTTTATGAAGAAGGCTTTGCTACCAGTTCAGAAAAACAAGAAATGTTGCCTCCAAACATTTAAAAATGCCTGTTGGTAGTGTATTTAAGGCATCATCATTGAGCAACATAATCAAGATTGTCAGTAAGAGATAGGGGGTCCCCAGTCCTGGTCCCTGAGGGACACAACCCAGCAATTTTATAGGTCTCTTTAAATCATCAACAGACCTTTGAAGAAGGGTTCAATTGGTCCCATTACAGTAAATCTTAATGAGCCAATTAACCATTTCCCCAGTTCTTGAGAAGTTCACGTTTTAAAGAGACCTAGAAAAACTTCAGGATTGTGGCCTTAAGAATGGAGTTAGAGACTCCAGGTATAGTCAAATAAAGTAAAATATAGAAATTATAATATTTATTAAACCTTGAAAAAATTGTAAATAAAAATGTTATATTTAAAGGTACTCTTGTATGTATTGTGGCTAACTTTTATTTTTTTGCATTAATGGTGCTCTCTTCAATTGTCATCATGCTATGCATCATTAAGGCCACATCTGTGTTGTGTAAATGTTACTGAAGTGTAGGAGTTTTTTTAATTTTATAACTGTACCTTGATACAATTTCATCAAGCAGTTTGACACCTTATTCTTATTTTACCTGCAAATTCTAGTTTTAGAATTTACCTGCATAATTAAGTCAACAATGTGCAAATCAAGTTTATAGCAAGTTACAGAGACTTGGCAGTTATTGTACCATACTTTGTCATTGCCTTAATTTAGGGATGAATGCTTATAATCTTTTCTGCCTTTATCACTGGTTATCAGCATCATAATATATTAACATTCACTAAAATCACAAATTTACACTTCACAGGTTTACCAGAACCAAATTATTCAACTGTCTTTGTGGTATTTGATTCTATGGTATCAAACTACAGATCTGTGAAGCTGTTTTGCTTATAACTATAACTCTTGTACATTACATTTTTAAAAATTAATAACATATGTTCTAGTTCCCCTTTGTCAAGTATCATGTTACTGAGCAAGCTAGTCTCCGTGTGTTCCATTGTAAACTTTTTTATGAGTAAAACGTATTGCAAAAAGTGTGGAGTTGCTGCTTATGTTGTAATATGTGCCACGTGTTGCTGTATCTATACTACAACTTTACTCTTGCAATAGGACAATTTTCTATAGTCAGTGCAGATCATATTTCTGTGCAATTGGTTACGCCACTGAGTGGCAGTTTTTAAAAATATTTCTCTTTTACTGCCAGTGATAAAATGTGCATCAAGCTTCAGAGATGAAATTTAAATGAAAATGTCTGAATTCACATTTTGAGGACAATCAACTAGATTTTTTTAAATGGATTTTGATGTATAAAATAGCACTTTTTTTAGTACTTTGGCTTTCTAAGCAATAAAACTGCTGTACTGGTTAACTTATTAGGACGATTTGAACAAACATGAACCAAATGACTTAATCAAAACATGAGATGAACATTGACAATATGCTGCTTGTACAATTATTTTTTAGCTCTATGCAAATCAGAACATTTATAAAGAGGCAGCTGCTTCAGCTTTAACACAACTGCATAAGCAACAAACCTGTGTCACTTTTATTATTGAGTTTGAAAATGTTTTTTCCACGTTTTCTAGCATATGTATTTTGCTGGAGATAAATCAAGCAGTATCCCACCTTGAAGTGTTATTGTGAGACAGTGTTTGTGTTAGCATGGCTTTTTTTTTCTTTTCTGTAATTCTGGAATTAAATAAAGCAGTTTTTAAAGTTGTAAATTCCTATTTTGTTTACATAGCAGTAAAATATGATACTATATACATATCCATTAGAATTGTGTTAAGTAACTTTTCTGGTTTCAATATCTTTTAGCATTTTAAAACTAAAAATAGATTTTTGCATTATGAATACTAATACTAATTAGAAAAAAAGAAACATCCAACTATACAGCAAATAGTCTTTTCTTTTTAAGATGTGATGTGTAAATACCACCTTTAATAAAATGGGCTAAGGAGTTTGCTTTAAGTGATTATATTCCAAATTACTTTATCTAGACTTCACAGAAATGAAAGACAACTGCTAAAAATTTGACACATTTAGGAGATTGAGCAGTTTCATTAAACTGCACAAGTTTCATGGCAATACACGATTGAGGGCTTTTTTTTTTAAGGGTGGTATATAAAATAATATATAGATTTTGTACACCACCCTTAAAAAAATATACATTATTTTTCCCCCCACATCATGCTCAAAGATGTGTTCAGGATTTCTAAAAAAAAACAGTAAAATGCTTAAATATTGAGGTCATGGAACACTAACACTTATAACTATGCATGTTCCTATATTTGATTAAGTATTTTCATTTCTGAATCTCAACTGAATAATTTTGAATTGTTCAAGTAGTAAATTTAGGAGATGTATTTCTTTTTACTTACCACTAGAGGTTCCATGTTGTACCACATTATGAATTAAAAAAAAAAAAACAATTTTACTCTGCAAACGTCTTTGGTCGACTAAAATGTGTAATTTTAAGTCCATGTAAATACTGTATACCTGAACACCATGGAACTGAATGTCAAAAGACTAATATTGTGTTATTTCAACACAGATCAGTGCAGACAACATAAGAACCTGTTTCTAAACATATCTACAACATAGTAGTAGAAAACTATCATTTATTGATCATTGCATTACATATTTTAAAATGTGGCAGTGAATATACCAGCAATAACAGGGAAACTTGTTTCCAGCAACTTGATCTATCAACAACAAAACTGTAATCAGGGCTCTAATCAATAACCAAAAGTTTGCAAATGAAAAGAAAGCAACTATTTTCTAATTTCACTGACCACTACATTACCTGGTCTAACAGTGTAGCACTCTTTATATATTTTGGTCAGTTTAGAGCCCTAACAATAGCATTAAAAAACTCTGATGAAATGTAACTGTTCTGTTTACACCAGTTTTCTAATACCACAGTGGAGCCGTAAACACAAGAGTAATTCTCAAGCACCAACTCAGTGCTGGTGACTGGGGCTGTTTGTTTTTTCCCTCACTTTCTTTTTGGTCAAAATACATAAATCACATTACAAATGCAAAACAGCTTAAAAAGAAAAACAAAAAATGGCTGAGGTATTGGGAGGAGGGAATTAAAATCAGATGTGCAAGGTGACAAAAAAACACAAAACTACATGGCATTTTCCACCGTTTACTCATTATCAAAAATAGTTTTTTTTTCCAACTTTTCTTGCAAATCAAAACAGAAAAAAAAGTACAGACTGGACACAAATCACATTGTTTTCTCCTATGGCTTCAAAAACACTACCTGACCACATTCACAGGAAAATGACACCAGGTAAAACTACAAAACAGAGGGTGCCATATTATCTGTCAGAGAATACCTGCACATTCTTTATTCTGTACACTGGGTGAACAACTGTCATCGTGCATGCTGTGTGCGAAATCAAACAGGTTCTATACTGTTAGGATGTTGTCCAAACGGAAATATGAAATGCTTTATGAGAGGATACACAAGTTGAAAAAAAGAAATGATAGAACTACGGACTTAATAAACAACCTTTACTTACTTGAGCACTAAAAGCAAAATAGAACGGAACTGAAGATCTAGAAACTATTTGCTTTTATGAAGTAATTCTGAAAACCTGCCCTCTCAGTGCCCTCATGTTACAGACACTGAAATAACGTCATTGATTCTGAATGCAGAAATTAAGCAGTGTATTTTTGGACATTACTAACATTGACAACTTCCACCCTCCACCAATTCAAAGAAAATACTACCCTGACACTTCTACATGGTGATGTCCTGCCTGATTAAATCAATCAAAATAAAAGGTAGCCTCTGTTTTATAGTACTGTATGTATGCAAATATATAAGTCACATTATGTAAAAGTGAGCATTACTGTGAATGTCGTGTATGCATACATGCTTTAGGGGAGCATCTACTGTTCTCCAGAAATATTGCTGTGGTCTGCCAAATAGTTGCTGTTATTTGGCCTGTTATTCACATAAGTGCTTATACCCAAGTCCCTGCCGACATGAAGTGCAGGTAAGGCAGAAGCCCACCTATCTAAATGGCAGAGACTACATCTGTGCCCGCAGAATATAGCATTTAAGACACCGCTCATCTCTTAACTGCTGAACCCACGAGGGGAGTGACTGTGCACATCACTTAGGGAGGTTACCAAGGCTGTGCGCGCTACTACATAAAACACATTTTACATTCAGGAGTGGGAAGAGGGAAGAATAAAATCAACATTGACAGTATTTCATTTTCTTTCATTTTTGACGAAATATGTTACAGTTATGTTACAATTAAAAAAAAAATGCCCCAAGGGGAAAAAAGACTTTTGAGACAGCAGAAACTAGCACAAACAGGACAGCAACATAATTTAGACAAACTGTACATACTGCATTTCACCACCTTGCATTTGTAGAAATGGTATCCTGACGATGCCCTAAATAGACAGTACTCTATGTTAGATGACATCCAATAAATACTGCAAATGTTGTTAATGTAACTTATAAAATATATCATAAAATGTTTCTTAATGGAATTAAGTTTGTATACAAAAGATTATAAATACAACCCATGTACTTACACTGCAGGTACCATTTCTTTTACATTTCTCATTACCTGAACCTTGTATTTGATTATGCACAGAGCATGACCCGCAACAATGAGGTCAAGTTTCTCTTGCCAAAGATCATGACGTATAAATCACTTGTAGCAGGACTAAACTTACAGTAACAATACTCTCCTCATTCAGAACTGCAGCAGTGTGTAAGACAGCACATGTGATACAAGGGATTTATAGGCAGGAGCTTTGGCAATAATGTTTAATCTGAACTAGAACAGAACCATAGCTGCCTTAGTATTGTAGTGACTCCTCCCTAACTCCTCCTTCCCTATAAAAACTAACGGAAAGGAGCAGCACCTCAACACAGCTCAACAGTCAAACCTCATCTCTAGAGTCTCATCAAAGCTTTTGTCCTCGTGAGGACTGGCAGCGAGGAACGAGGTGACGGGGGAGCCCGCTGTGACGTTGAGGACGCTGGTGCTTGTGCTTGCATTCCGCACCGCGATACTGGTGACGTTGATGCCCAGGGTGAGCCGGGTCTGCTCCAAGGCCTTCTCTGGTACAGCGAAGGCCTCTAGCTTTTTCTCACCGTTGGCCATGTAGGAGTTCTGGCAGCCCCTGCAAATGCAGTCCAAGCAGGCTTTGCGGTTGGAATAGCATGGACACCGTTGGCCGCGGCACGTAAGAACACTTGGATTTTGGGTGGCCCGGCCACATTTGCAGCCCTTCTTTTCCTGGGGCTTCTTGTACACAACTTTGGTGGGACTCCCCGGCATGACATTGTTAGTCGGGAGTCGGTCTTTCGTTTTGTCCTTGGTCTTGGTAACCCCTTGTTTGGCCTTGGAATACGCTTTCTTGGCCCCATGGTCAGGATTTTTCTTAATGCTCTTGCTGGACACCAGCACTGTTTTGCTGACCTTGGGTGTTCCCCCATTTGGCACAGTAGCCACTGGCTGCACTGGTACCTTGGGCTCCCGTTTAACCGTCACAGGCGCTGCTGCGGCCAAGGGCGGACCCCGGATGATGCTGGAAATGGGCAAGGGCTGGATCTTCTCGCTGTCACTCTCGGAACGAGATCGTTTTCGGTTCAGTCGGGCGGCTTTGGGTGTGGCTGCTGAGCAGGAGATCCCAGAGGAAGGCTGGGGGTGACAGGGAACAAAGACGCCCGAATCCAGAGGAAGCGAGGGTAGTCGGGAGTCACTGAAGGGTCCGTTGAGGTTACCTGACGTCTCCAGGTTTGAATGTAAGGGATCTGCGCAGTCCTCCGTGACAGGGTCTGGCTCAAGGCTCCGGAGCACCTCCTCCACACTTAAAAGCAAGGGGCCGCTGCTGTGTTTTATCTCTTCGCTGAAGCTACATATATCAATGCCGTCAGTGCATAGTTCTTCTGAGGCCTCACAGACAGGCAGCTCATCAGCAAAGCTTTCGGCTTTTAGCTCTTCCCCACTACTACACACATCGATGGTAGCAGATGCACTTTCCGGGGAAGGGAGGCTGGCTGCCAACTCATCCACTGTAAGCCCATTGCAATCGTGCAGCCCGTTCATGCCAGCCGGGCTGACCTTCGCATCCGCGGCCCGGTTCTGAAGATCCGAGGAGGCCTCCAGCTGCGTGGCGTCATGGTGTTCAGAGGTGGAAGGCGTCGGGGAATGTGACAAATTCAGTGACAAAGAAACTTGAGATTCTCCCTGCTCGCCTTCATTTAACGACAACCCCTCCTTCAACATCGCCAAAACGTCAGGGGAGCCTCCAACAGCACTGGCAATTTGATGAGCCAGAGGGGACTCCACGATATACTCACAGAGCTTCTTATAGCAGTCCACGAGGATGCACAGTTGCTTGTTTTCTTCAAATTGTTCATAGTCCTTACACCAACTGCAAGAGGGCTTCATCATCATCTTTTTGCCTTTACAGGCTTTGCAAACATAGTGCTGGCAAGAAGAGTTGGTTGGAGCTATGGGATCTTGTAGCAAGTTCCCTAGAAGATAAAATAATAAACAAACTTGCATTAATAAAGGAGCAATTGAACATCTGACATTGCTTTAGTATTTTAAATTGCATATTAACTGAAATAAAATACTTTAATATGATTATACAAAACCACTTTAAGAGTTTCATTTAAAAGATGCGAGCAGGGGAAGAATCTGGTGCAACAAATTTGAACCAAGAGGTTTGGGATCAATAGCTCGACAAAAGACGCCCTCCATCATCAGCAAGGCTTTGTTCCTTATATTGATCGGGGACTAGGTTTAATCAAATTACATTCATTTATTAAGAGTAAGAATGCATTAGGAAAGACTGAAAGCTGCACAGATGTAAACACTATCTAAAGACAAGCAAATGTTTCCCGATAAGGAACAAAAAAAACAACTCATCGAAGTACAAGGACTTAAAAACTCATGCCAACAATAAAAACTCTTTACACTGTTATAAAGTGAATGGTGTTAGATGGGCTCTCCATTTCTGATTATTAGTTTTCGTATTTTATAAAATGACACATATTCAGAACACAATCAAACATTTAAGTCATGAAATAACAAAATGAGTTAAAAATATTTAAGACTGTATAGAAATTGTTGGATGTTTCTTTTACCATAGTTCTTGGCAGCAAGCAGGCTATCTAATCAACTCGAAGCAGACTGTCTTCTAATTAATCAATATAACTGTCTTATAAATCCTTTAATACTATGTTGATACATGGTTTTAAACCTGTGGTTTATTGCCCATATTTGGCTCTGACTCTGAAAACAATTTTATAAAACATTTAACAAATGATTAATAATCTCTATCAAGAAAGATCGACTCTAGTAAAGATCACTTAGCTCAGTTTTCTACTACATTTGGAAAAGAGCAATTTATGTATAAACCCTACAAGAGACATGATATAGCCCCATTAGCAGAGGAAACGATATTTTTGTACGTTGAAGAATATGGCTCAAGTCTTTAGTTTCATATAATGGACATCAAGCAATGATGCTGTTTCTTGACATAAACCTTTAATAAAGCCATAACTGAAACAGCAGCATTGCGAGACACAGACCAGACAATTATGATTATGCACACACAATATTATGAACAGTAATTGCACAGCATATCTGAGCAACCTTCACAGATTCTCTTAGGAACAATGACCTTCTTGCAATTACAGAAAACAGGCTTACATTACTGCTAAAGACTTGTAAAAAAAAGGCTGTCAGATTCAGTTTCCTAGAATACTGCTTCAGCAACCAACAAGGTCAGACTCCTCTAAGTAGCAGTTAAGCTCACTTGTACTTCATGGTTTAGACTTTTGCATTAAACAGCAAGATGAATCTGAAGACGCACTTGTAAAAAAGTCCTTAGTAACTACTACTACTACTACACCTTGCCTTTTTATCAATGTACCACTGATGGTACACAGTATGGCTGCAGTGTGTTCTCCTCCAAGCCCCATGGAGGTGCACAGATGGATGTGAAGTCAAATATCTGAAAACCACCCGTTAAACGATTGCAAAAGCAGTTTTCCCAAGAACAAATTTAATGTCTCTTAATGACTCGCAAGAGGGCTACAACTGTAGTTCTTCACACTGTAATCAGACCTCAGCATTGTTTTGAGGTTATTACAAAGGCACACTTCATTAAACGGCAAATTTACCATTTCTAAATACTTTAGGAGTGAATTCACTAGCTGCCACCCCAAATTATACCATCGACTGTACGTGACAGTACGGCAGGCTTCCTTCCATTAATCGTCAGTTCCTAAACATATTACAAAGCTACAATTGTACCCTTAGCTCACAGGCAACACACACGATTAAGCATGACTTAATAGAGAGGTAAACAGTTTAGGGATTAATATTCAGAAAAGCACTCAGTTTGGGTTTTGCACAGAAACAAAATAACTACGGAACTGCGCAGCGACTCTCTCAATAAATATTTTACTAGCAGTATCCATTAATAACACGCCTCTGTATGAATTCTGAGACATGCGCACCGACGGACAGAGGAGACCGGGCTGCGCGGGCTTCCTTAGCAACGCCGGTAGGTAGGAAACGTGGCCGATGACCTCATGCTTTGATACCGATCGGTGAGCAGGATTTATTCGCGTTTCCTTAGAGATCCGGACAGTCGCCGCTTCTACCCACCTCAAGAGGAGCATCCTTAGACTTGGACACTCATCAAGAAAACCTCATTCGCCCAATTAGCGCGATAAGAAAGATCACACACAAAAATGTAATTCGACGTCTAAACGGGTTTATATAGATGCTAGGACCTTAAAACTCCTTCCAACGCATCGTTACGTAATATTCTAACCAGCACTGTAATGTTCTTAAAATACAAACATAAAAAACCACCATCAAATATTTATTGTGGCTTTGTCTGCATATTACGAATATATTTTCGGCCGTTTACGAAAGCATTGACAAGCTGATTTAAGGTGAAAATGCGATATAAACCGGTTATCAATTCAATATACCGTTAAGTACCGTCTTCGTTCAATAGGTGAACATCCTCGCTCTCTAGACAAAATCAGCCGTCTTTTATCGGTTACTGTATTTGCGTACATTAAGCAATGCATTACAGTATATTTTGCCGAGATACACAAATACTATTAAAATGAATAAAAATGTACATAAAATAATGTATTGACGATAGCACAGGGAAACCAGACTGTTTCGTTTTCAAAAAGCCAATGTCATATTATAAGGTGGGAACTTTCAACCACAGAGGAGTGAACTCGCGATTAAAAGAAAGGCTCTAGCGTTATGTAAAACTTTCCCTTTATCCGTTATAGCTAGTTACTATCCTTCTTGGCACTAACACAGAATTACACTAATAACGCAGCCGTCTCGACACAGCATTTCGCACGCGTGTTTTTTTTTTTTGCAGTCGCCTACCTCATCAATCTATATTAAATCAGTCTTTTTTTAAAAAAAAAAAGTCAACTATTTCTAAGCTTCTGAACGTTTCACGGTGGGACCACGCTGTATGTTCCTTCACCATTTCCGTTTCCAGCCTGAATTTCAACAACAATAAAAAAAAAAAATCAAACGCCGTTACCAGTTCAGCCCCATTCATTAGCTACTTTCCATCACATGATGACAGCGGCCGCCGCCGCAGAAAACTTCCCAAATGATAAAAGCGTAACAACAGAGCCGCGTTTTCACCTCAAGAACCTACATCAGTGACCCCCTCCCTCCCTGCCACCCCTTTTTGTTTTCCACAGTGAGCTAGGACAGCCCTGAGCGGAGCTGAGACGCTTCTGCTGGTGCCGGTGCCCTAGACTGCAGCACGGTGAGCTGTTATTTATCAAGTCCTGAGAAATCTGCCTTTCCGATGGGCTGGGAAGCTGATCACAGTAGCTGTTCCGTAGGTTGCCCGAGCGGGGGGAGGGAGGGATGCATCTCGGCTATTTTTTTTTTCCCTCCCTGTTTCATTCAAAGAAAGCAATGTGCAATGAAATACATACATATATATAAATAATAATAATCTCACCACAAACAAGGCATGAAAGGGACTGTCTGAAGAAGGGCAAAAGCTTGTAAAGCTCTTCGAAGGACTGTGGGTCCCGCGGATCGCACTGCAGCACCGAACGACAAGCTGACACGTAAAGAGCGGTGGCATTCACCGGGTTCATCGCAGCAACTTAACACCAGATAGGTCCTGCTCTGGAGAAAAATGATCAAGCAACCAGATCCGCCGTTCGCGCTGGAAGGTGGCCCCGTCACCGCAGCCCGCTGAGGCTCCCGTGAAAGCGGCGCAGGACGCGTTCAACCCTAGTTTCCAGAGAGGGCGAGGGGCAGGCGAGGCTGGAGTGAAGCATGGGTGGATAAAATCAGGCGCGGCGCAATTCTGGGGGGTTCTGCTTAAAACCAAAAAGGGCTTTCGCATCCCCCGCCGGAAGGGAGAATGTGGTGGAGTTTCCAATTCTGCTGTCAATAGGCTCGCATAAAACAGTCTGCATTCAGCAACAGTGGATAAAACAACAGCAGCGCGGCACCGGACGCGTTTAGCGCTTTCCTCTCTTCCATGGCACGAAGTACGCCCAAATTAACATGTTCAGATAAAACGGTTCATCCACAAAATCGAAGAGGACGATGTTTTAAAAAAATCCACAAAAGGCGAGGGGAAGGGTAAACATCCAGATTGTCTTATTTCCTCAAAGTGGATCACTTGTCTTCCATAGCAGCCGCGCTGTTCCTGGTTATTATTAGCTATTATTCAACAACACAACACTGGCGGCGCTCTGTTTCCCGGTCGAGTCAAGCCTGGCTTCCAATTACGAGCTGTAGTACAGGCAGGCTGTACCAAAATCCCAACCAAACCCCCAGCTCCGCTTCTTTTTCGCTCTCTCGCTCCTCCTTGATCTCGGCGATTGCTTCTGGGGAAAAAACAGCAGGTCCTCTTCCCCCCGGCACGGCTCCGGCCCAATGCATTCAGGGCGCTCGGAGGAGGGAAGTCGGCGAGCACGAAATGTGTGTTTATTGTCCGCCTCGGCTGCTCATGGCGGTGTCGCTGCGAAAACAAAACAGGCCGCTCCGCTCCGGCCCCTCTCTACCCCCGGAGAGCAGGCGAGCCGAGGCGTCCGCACGCACACTTCCTGTTCTCCTCTCCTCACGAGAAAACGAGGGAGGCCAGATTTTGCTGCGATGTACCTCCAGCGGGGCTCTGTCCTGCAGCGGCGGCTCCGGGGTATCCGAACAAAAATAGGCCGCTTTTTTCTTCTTTTCTTTGGATTTATCCCTCCTTTTCCGTCCTCCCCGACTGCTTTCGTTGTAGCCAGCTGGAGCTGCGTTGGTTGCGAGTTGGCTTCGGTTTCCAGTTAGCTCCTGCTTCCGTTTTTTCCCCCCCAAACTAAAGGTTCCTGGCGGTGTGATATTAATATTTATTTATAATTCAACAGTCTGCTATAGCTATGGAGGTTTCTCCCCTCCTTTTTTCCTCTCCGCATATAAGAAGGAGGAGGGGGCGCTGTGTTTCACATCTCGCGAGAATACGGACCCCAACGCCCGCGAGAATATAGTTCCCTTGGTTACGTAAGACATTTTTATAAATACAGCGCAGTCAGCGGAGGGCTGCAACCGGGTTTTTTTTTTGCGGGAGGGATGTTTTCATATTTCTTTCAGTCAGGCTCTCCGATTTTTTTCTAATTCGTAGATCAACAGAAGATCAACGCACCCGCCGTGAAGCGTCGCCCAAGTGTACTGATTTAAACACATTGGACTCGGGGTTAAATTTCCTCGTTTTTTGGATCCAGCGAGCGGTTTCTTTGAAGACCTCTGGGGTCTATGGATATACTGTGGAAAAGCCTTGTAGTAGAAACAAATAGGCATTGAATTGATTAGATTACCCCTGCAATCTGCTTTTTGTAATTATCATCAAACCCCTGTATTCCACGAATACTATATAAGCTCTTGGGACCCAATACTGTTTGGTTTTAAATGATCAATGATTAATTTTACCGATCGTATATGTTACATTGGTAAACATATGTACAGTTTGTTTAGTCATCTTTGAATGTTAATGCTAAAACACGAAGATATTTCTAATGAATAAAGTGTTTAAATCTGTGATTTAAAAATGCCTCTTAATCTTTTCCAAAAATCGTGGTCAGTGGTAAAGGCTTAATTACTTTCTTGCCAGGTGTTCTCTAGAATCTAAATCTCTAGAAAAGAGAAAAAGGCATCCAAACAATTCAGAATGTGAAGTTTTTTCATTTAAATATAGCTGGTGACGACGTAAATGTAAATCGTGGATATTACATGTAATCGTAAGAATATAACTGTCTAACCTTAACAATATCTAAAGTGGGCGTATAAGTGGTGTAGAAAGCGGATACTAAGACGGCACATACTGTTACTATTTCCGCCAGTTTGTCAGCCTGATCCATTCTTTTTCCTGGGATTTGTAGTCAATACGAGTATTGCCTTATAAATCAAATACGGCTGATAAAATACAGACAGGGAAGAAACATTAGACTGCAATGTGGATCTGTCCTGCAAAACCAGACGTCTTTCCAAATGTCCTCATTTGGGATTTTTGTTTTTGAATAACGATGCGGCAAATAAGAACAGACAAGGCACAAGGATTCGTGCACATAGTGGTCTGAGAGAAATATTTACTTATACTGTATACTGATGCAAAGGAAAGAGGCAAAACCTAGGATTTTAAACATCCATCATCAAACAAAATCCTATAAACTGCGAACTAATGTACAGATCAAAGATAGACGACATGTTTCAGTGTGACACACTGTCAAAACGAAAACATTACAACGGTGGTATCCGTTACGACCTCCTAGTATTAACACAAGCCTAGCAATACTGGCACATAGACCGAGCAGCGCCTGAGCAGACTAATATCCAGTTGTGGATATTGGCAATTAGTGGCTTTGACGATTTTGTTTCACAATTGATCTGTCGGTCTCAGGTCAGGAGAAAAAAAGATAAGCACCACAGGACTGTGTGGTCTTTGACACAGCCTTGCACGAATGAAAAACAAAATTGTCTGAAGGATTTTTTCAATGAACAATACTTAGAGTTTAATGGTACCACAACCTGCACCAAAGAAAATCTGTGTTAAAAAACAACTCCTTTCTGCATCACAGATCTTCTGTCACCCACCCCTTTGGTTGGCTTGAACATCTCACAATTCAGCATAATGCTGGCTCACTATGACATAGTTGACTTCTGTTAAGAACAAACTGGCCTTGACTGGTGAATAAACACGCTCCACTACTCTCTTGGTCATCACCTGAGATATTACAGAAATGGCGATTTCGGTAAGCTTGTTACTCTGGAATGGCCTCCAAAGCATGTATATCATATTCATGCTGACGGTATGATGTAGACAATCATCATCCTGGTTTCTCACTTTTCACTCCCCTTCTCTCTGGTAAGCGTTATAAGGAGCAAGCAGGCGCAAACGTCCAGATTCAGAGACAGTTTATACCCACAAACAGATTACTGGACTCTACCCCGACCCCTGACTCAGACTGCTGTTTTTTTAATTCTCCTCTCCCACTGCCTGTCCGACTTTGTTTTTTTTTTAAGTTGTATGTTGTTTAATTTGTTGCTGCTGCTGTTCTGTGTCTATGTTTTGATGATTCCTTAATGTATTTGTATCGGAGAACACATGCAAATAAGCATTTCATTGCATTTGTGCATATGACAAATAAACTGAACTGAAAGTTAACCACAGGCATTTTGTCCATGTATGGGTTACTTGTTGGTGCAATTTACCGTGGTGAGGCCATTCTTGCAGTCCAGTCCTGGGCTGCTGTGGCGATTCTCAGTTTTCCATGACTTGCTTACAGCAAGGTTCCTGGTTCCTCTGGACAAGTCTACGAAATGTTTAATAGTCAAGTAAGATTCATATTGAGAAGCTCTGGTTGCATTTCAACTAACGTATATAAAGTTGCTTTAAACTGTAATTCTGTTATAGAAAATATGTTACCTCATCATACTTTGCTGTTAACACAATTACAGTTATCATCTAAGTGTACTCAACTAAATAGTACATTCAAATGTAATCTGTTCAAAAAGTTTACTGCTACTTTTTTCTGCATTGCAGAAAAGTGATAAAAAAATCAGAAATAATCGGTAAGATATATTTTGCACAAAATTATAGCATTTTAAAATGTACTTCTCTAACCTTGTGTGGTTCTTAATTTAAAGAAGAAGGACCAAGCCAGGTTTCTACCAAATCCTATTAATCAAGTTGCTTTTGCTAATCATTCGGTTGGCGTCCTTCATGGTCAAACTATCTCCCGCCCTCCCGCTGAATAGAGCTCTCCTATAGGTTCCCGTGAGAGACGAAAAAGCGCCGATTCGTCGAGAAGGAGGCAGCCATTGGTCGCTCAGAACTGGTCTCTAAGTGTCAGTGTGTCAGACATGGCGGCTTTCACAGTAGCACGAAGCAGCTGTAGGCTGCTTCATGGACTCCGATCCGCTTTCAAAAGCCACGTAAGGATCAATGGAGCTGCTGCGGTTTCGGCACGATCAGATGTGCAGCTCCTGCCCCGGTGGTACTCAGTCAGCCACCTGTCCGTGCAAGAGCGGATAGACAAGAAACGGAAGGCAGCGCTGGTCGGAGGAGGTCAGAAGAGAATAGACGCACAGCATAAGAGGGTAAATATACTTCAGTCAATGACATAGCCTGTCTTCAGATATGAAGCAAACATTATGAAACATGTAATCGTAAAAGCAGTAGGACATTTCATTTGTGTTGCTTTAAAGGATAAAAGGCGTGCTCTTTAGATATTTATTGAGGTTAGGCGGTGATCAACTGTGCTTTTTCAGTGATTAAATCCCGTGTATCAATTGTTTTATTTTCAGTTGTACGAATTAAAACCTACCTTGTCTGATTTTGTTAATTTTAATTCGGGACGAATGACCAGATCTCCCGTTGTGCTATTAGTTGCTTACCCAGAAGCAGTCCCCAAGGGATTTGGCAAGATTTAGCTCTTCAGACATGGTGAAAGTTGGTTTTAGGCGGTATGTTCATTGTTCATTTCGTATCCCAATCAAAATCCTTATTTTTAATTTCTAAGGGGCCTGATCTGAATGTCTGTTGACATGCAATAGGTAATTTACCTGAGGTTACGGGCAGAACAGCCTCACGTAAAACGTGCAGTGAAAATCCAGAATATAAAAGGTGTGGAAAAGGCACGGCACTACAGATATCCCTCAAGGATACATCTCTTTAGATTGTGGAAGATCAGACACCCGTCAGTCTCTTTTAAAAATGAATCTTGTTGATTTTTTTCCCATCCGAGCTATTCTAAGTAAACTGTCAGTCTGTTTCAGGTACAGTATGTGGCGCTCCCGCAGTCTTTAAGTAATCTCGCAATTTTTGGACGAGACGGAGACTTTCTTAGCGCTACCGAACTAATTTGGATTTATTTGCTTTTGATTATAAATTCGTAAGACTGTAAACACCGTGGGTATAATTCATATATGCTGCGATCAACTACAGTTTAAATCAATGCATTTTTATTTCGGCTTTTGTGGATAGTAGTTTAAATGGTCAAATTCGAGATTTATTTCTTTCACGACCCAGATCATTTCATATGTCGATGCCCTTTGATTCAGGGAAAGCTGACGGCCCGAGAGCGAATTGAGCTGTTGTTGGATCCAGACAGCTTTGTAGAATATGACATGTTTGTGGAACACAGGTGTTCTGACTTCGGCATGCAGGCTGATCACAATAAGGTATGTACAGCCCCCGTTCATGGTATATGTAGGGATGAACCTTTCGGGAATGTACCACATACTGATAGAAGGGTAGGGGCCTCTGTTCGTTCTGGACTAGATATTCCAAACCTGGGCAGCAATTTGGTGACAGTGGACACTGTACTGTATAAGGATTTATTCTTCAGATGAGATTTAAGACCAAGACATAACTACTTTTAGGTAGTTAAGGTCCTGTAGCAACAGTAGGGTGGATAACGGTGTCCTGGTTTAATTCATGTCCAGATCAGACTCTGTCTGCCATACCGGCACTTTCATTTCTTATATCCTCCCCTTATCTGCTGTACACTTTCTCCAGCAAGCTGCTGGAATGGATTAGTTGCAAGAATAATACAAATGGTTACTGCTTCAAAGGTTAGAAAGTCCTAATATGGGGTCTTTCCTACATAAACAGCAGTGTGGGATCTGTCTGGGTTGAAAGTTCTATGCTGTACAAAATACACAAAACTGAGCTCATGGTACTACTTATTATTTAGCATTATTTATGCACTCCTATTTCTGTATTGCTTTTCTCCTCACTATATTCATATTACGCTTCAGACTGCTTGTCCAATTCAGCATGGCTTCTAAGCTGTTGATATGCAGTATTTAGTAATATGGAGGATGTACCCGAGAGTAATTAATGAAAGTAGAAGGCCTATTATGAAAGTTTCTTTGATTACTTTAAACTAGTGAAACAGGACTCTGACCCTCACACTAATGTTAGTCCAAATCTAAACATGTTTAATCATAATGAATCCTCGCTGTGAGCAATTTCTGTAATGCTAGATGTAAACGATGTCATTAATCTCAATATTTGATTCTTTGTCTGTGTTCTTTGTTCTTTCCTGCGTACTGTTTTCCCAAAACTTCGTCTCCCAGTTTCCAGGTGACAGTGTGGTGACTGGCCAGGGCCGCATCAATGGAAGACTGGTATATGTTTTCAGTCAGGTAAAAATAATGCTGTAATTTTACATGTGCATGTGTGTGAGCAGATTTCAGTTTATTTCCAAAACCATGGTATTCAATCATTTTGGAACACTTTAGAAGAAACAAACAGTCTAACGATCAAAATGTGTGAAACAAACCTAATTACATTGGTAAAATTTAACATTCAGCATTGAAAGACTATGAACTGTCGGTTATAAATATGGCCTGTTGTCAAACATGTTAACTGCACTGTAGTATTGCTGGAATTGTTGCAGGCAATCGTCATGAAAAAGCATCAGTACACTAGATGAGTATTTTCTTTAGGGGAGCTGGTATAAGTGAGCCTTTGTAAAGGATTTAATCCCCTTATTATGTGACTACATTGGAAAATTATTTTTCTTAAACAGGAAGGGCAGGGGAGGCTCATTAGTTTAGAACAGACATTAATTCATTGTCTTTCCAGTCTCAAACCGTATACGGAGCGTCTGAAAAGACCCCTGCTGTAATGTCCCGTTCCTGTTTTTTATAGGATTTCACTGTTTTTGGAGGCAGTCTTTCAGGAGCTCATGCACAGAAGATCTGTAAGGTACAGTTTATGACATTTCTACTGAAGGATGTGATTTCTCATGGGGGAGAAAAATGAAAAGCAGGACTGTTTGAGGAAATTACCCCAGTTGCCAAAAAATGTAGGTAAAAAATGTTAAATGCCGTATACACAATGTATATTTTCTACCTCAGAATAGTTTTGAGATATTTTTGATGTAATAAATGCTAACCGCTGTCGGTTAAGGAAGATAAAAAATAATAGCAACAAAAATAGTAATGCGATATTCAATTGTGCCTGTGTTCAAGTGGATCACGTAGAAATGTCCGTTTACACAAACTTCAAAGGGCAACTCAGTGTGATGTCTGATTAACTAGAACGTACTAGAAACGTAACTAGAAAGGTTAGAGTCAATTTAATATTTCAGCTGGCAAAGGTTTCATTAAGAGCACAGACTGAGATCCTTAATCTACATTATTATTCATGTATGTGACTGAAAACTATATACATTTGACACCATTAATATATGGCATTTTATTGGAGCAATCTGAGCAAGAAGTACCTGACTTCAAAGTACAACATCAGTGGGCCATGCTGAGAGAGCCTGGCAATCTGGTATTCCCCAAGTGGCAATGCACAACTGGCTGAGCTCCCCAGGGGTTGGGTGGTCTTAATTCAGCAGGGTTTCCTGAGCTCACCGTGCAACAGCGCCTCCTGCTGGGAGCCTCCAAGCTTTGCAGTGATGTCAGTGAGACATGGTAATGATGCATGGCTCTGACAGATGGGCATGTCATTGGAATCCATTCCAAACTGGAGAGGTATAAAATGGGAAACGTCATAGAAAAGAAGGGTTATGCAGGGCACCTGCAGAAACCCTTGTGGTCAGGATAAACATACAGTTTCTACATTGCAGTGGAAAGCAGGTGACTGGATTCGAGTCTGAAGAGCAGCTTGTTGCACAGCTGAAGAGCCTTGATTTGCTCCCACACACAGATCATGGACCAGGCAATGATGGTGGGTGCTCCAGTCATCGGCCTGAATGACTCTGGCGGAGCCCGGATTCAAGAAGGGGTGGAGTCTCTTGCTGGATATGCGGATATTTTCTTGGTAAGAGAACGCCCCACGTAGGTCTGGGTAGAACTTGCAACGTGTAAATTGCTCAGATGAACAGCATCTAGAAGTAAATGGCTCATTTTGCTTACTGTATCTCCTGCGCACAGAGAAATGTGATGGCCTCAGGAGTCATACCTCAGATCTCTCTCGTCATGGGCCCTTGTGCTGGTGGGGCTGTCTATTCTCCGGCCTTGACAGACTTCACGTTCATGGTGAAGGTAAAACAACCGTTTCCACTATTCATAATGAGGCATCCCTCGCAGGCAGGACAATTCAATAAGTCTTGGTATATTTGGTAAATGACAAACTTTATTCTCTGCTCCGATCTAGGGGAGTTTGTTATTACTTCTTTCGTTGCAGTGATAGAAACCAGTAATTACTGACTCAGTCATTCGGGTTTCTGTGAAGATGTGTTTTGTCCTCTAGGACACTTCGTATCTGTTTATCACCGGCCCAGATGTGGTAAAGTCGGTCACCAATGAGGACGTGACCCAAGAAGAGCTTGGCGGAGCAAAAACACACACAGCTGTGTCAGGTGGGTTAATGTTGGATGTCACAGATGAAACTAGTTTCCAGCAGCTACTAACAAGGTGTACCGCATAGCTGAGCTTAACAGTGATGGCACACTGTCCATAAACATTGCATAAATGTTTCTTAACTACTGACTCTTAAAATGGATTTTTTTGACAATGTTCAGAAACTGGAATCTGTGAATTTGTTTTACTTAGGTTATGCCTTTATCCGAGATATAAAAATTCATCCAGATTTATACAGCCCAGTTTTTGTCGTGTTGGAAATTGACAAATAGTGAAATAAAAAGTTTAAACTCTGGATTCCAAAGTCCCCAGGGTATCTTTGTTTTTGTAGCACTACATAATTTTGTATAAATTAGGAATCAAGATTATGTATGATATACCCAGCGAATTTGGAAGTGCCAGGTGGCTGCATCTTGGATCACAGCAATGACCTCTGTAGAAAGCCAAGAAGGTCAACCTCAGTTATATTACCTTGAAACCTCCATTGTTTCCAAAGCAATGTGAATCAAGCTCTGGCTGTGAATTTCTGCCTGATCTATCCCAGGCCTCCTTTTTTACCCTTTGACTTCTTCACAGAATGCATGAGACAGTCGTAACATATCTGAAATGAAATGCTAGGTGGTCAGTCTTGGTGATCTATCCTCAGGAACCCTGGAGAAGTGGTAGTCAATTTTAGTAGCCAGCAACAACAGAGTAAACATTACTATCAAGAACTGATGTGAAAACAAGTTAGTCACAGCCAAGGGATTGAATATTGTGGCCATGACCTTGATCCTCCATACAGCACACAGTATTGACCTTTGACTCATGGGGATGAAGCTGCCACAGGAACTCTGATTCCCATGATGCACTGTTCATGACAGGTGAGAACAGGAAAGGGCAGAGCTGACCATCTTGGTTTTATAATGAGAATCTCAGCCTTTATACCAAAACAGAGTGAACGAGGAAGTGCAAACATTTTTCTCCACCCCCCCACCCATTGGGCCATGTACCCCTTGACCCATTGCACACTGTGCAGTGTTCAGCTCTCTCTGAGGACACCACAGACCTGCAGGCACCCAGGAAGTCACAGGGGTCATGTGATTGCACCTTCAGGCCCTCAGCTGTGTTGAGCCAATTGTGTGCCAGTGCCTGAGGCATCATAGAGCCCAACCTCTAGAGCCCGGATAGCTCAGTCAGTAGGGTATCAGACTTTTAATCTGAGGGTCCAGGATTCAGGTCCTTGTTCGGGCGGTTGTGTTTCTTCAATCTATTGTAAATGTCCATAATAAATCATAGAGCCCAACCTCTGCTCGGATCAGCTGTCTCTACTAGTTGAGCCACGTGGACATCCAGTGCCACTAAAGAATATTGACCATTGACTTCTAATTAAAACTGATCATTCCCATCTATGCCTCTTCTGGACCTTTTCAACCACATTCTTACCCTTTGCAGGTAGTTCCCTTTAGAGCCTTACCGCAGTTTTATTTCTTAGCTATCACCGCAGAAGGACACAGAAACCTATTGAGAGGTGGCTGAACGTCTACTGAATTTTCTTCCAGTATTGTAATTCTCTGAAAGTACCATTTATTCTTGTACACAAACCTTGTCTTTTCACAATAGTGGGCCTGTCAGTGCTGGGAGGCGATGATTTTTAAAAACTTTTGCACACAAGGGAGTCTGTCCATGTGTGGAAGTGCAGATAGGCAATGTGGTGTCGTCTGTGTGTGGAAGAATTTGCTGATTTCTTTTAATGAGGTGAAATTTAATTGCATTCAGTATGGATATGAGCCAAGACCCCACAGTTTTGTGCCAGCTCTGAATTAATGATCCAGACTCTCAATGAAAGCAGTGTGTAATTAACAGCGAAACGTGCCGCAGCCTGCCTGCTCCACTTTTAATTGCTTCAGCTCTCCTAGAAAGGACTCTCTGGGGGTTTCAGGAAAGCATTGCTGGGGCTGGCAGTTTTTTTTGTTTCGCTTTTATTATCTGACCTTCTCTCAAAATGTTTTTAGTGAATGGGCATATACAGTAGCAGAAATGACTGGTGACTTAGCACAGTTTTTTTTAATACCAATTCAAGCATGTGACAAGACCTGCTCTTCATTTGAGAGCACTGTTAAAGACAAACCTCAAGAGGGTAAGTCAAAAACATTTGTTTTGTTAATCACTGTAATGATTTTAAGATGGATCTTGAATTCCCTCAGGTGTTGCCCACAGAGCATTTGAGAATGACATTGATGCCTTGCTGAATCTCCGAGAATTTTTTAACTTCCTCCCTCTCAGTAACAAAGACGCAGCACCAGTGATTGAATGCCATGACCGCAGGTAAGAGTTGGCGTTTAGAATTATGTATTTGTAATACGTTTTTTTAAGACTTCATGAAATATGTGGGGGGAAAAAAAACTATGCATTTATGCCCTCTAGTGGTAATCCGGTCACATTGCACACTTTGTTTTCCAAATCGTTCTCTGGTGGCCTAAATGCTAAATCCATTTTACCTTTAGTTTCTTAATTGAACTAATGATGTCATATTTTATCACTTTTCCGCAGCACAGCTGCTTTCCTTATGTGTAAATTTAGGTTTTATATGGTGGTATTGTAGTATGCGTTTCATGACACACTTCATGATGTCCTATTTCAGTTTTGCATTCTGAAGCTTGCAGTTCACAAATTATACAGTAACAACTACATTTTGTATTACAGTGATCGCCTTGTTCCTGGCCTGGACACAGTAGTTCCCTTTGAATCCACTAAAGCATACGACATGCTGGATATTATTCACAGTGTAAGCAGTCATTGTAAATAAAAGGGTACAGTGAAAACACCACGCTTCTGTGCTGCAGAACATTTTTACTGATTTTTTTTTTTCAGGCAACAGGCTCTGAATATATTTGTTTTATTTGTAGATTGTGGATGAGATGGAATTCTTTGAAATTATGCCAAACTATGCAAAGAATATTGTGGTGGGTTTTTCTAGAATGAATGGCCGCACTGTTGGAATTGTGGGAAACCAGCCCAAAGTGGCATCAGGTGAGACTGACTTCTGAAGCCTAATGCCCTGCACATTGTCTTTAGTACTTTGCTTATTATATATGTTGTATATCAAACACTAACTGAAAAATGAATCACTTTTTTATGCCTAATGAGGTAGCTTCTTGGAAATAAGCACAACACGAAAGCTCTTAGCAATAGTCTTTTTTGAAGTAGCAAGCTGAAAAGATTACACTGTCCTTGACTGCAGAGTATCAATAAGTTCTTTTCTGCTTCGTGCACTGTGCTGTTCAATTTCACATTTGAGTTCCTTGATCCTCTTTTAGTTTTAATGGTGCTGCAATACCAACAAGGTAATTGCAGCTTTGTTCCTACATGTTTTGTCTTGATGTCCGTAGGCTGTCTTGATATCAACTCTTCTGTGAAGGGAGCCCGATTTGTGCGGTTCTGTGATGCCTTCAACATTCCCATCATCACCTTTGTTGACGTGCCTGGATTTTTGCCAGGTATGTGGAAATGAAAGGCGGTTTTGACCAAACAGCCAAAAAAAGGATGTTAAGAGTGTCATTTTCTCAAAAAATAAACTCTTAGCCTGCAGCACAAATGCGTTTTACAAGGGATGTAGCTACCTTGTGTCCTGAGTGTGTTTCAAAGGGACCGTATATTTAAAAACTGTGGAACTGAAGTGGATCTCTTCCGGTTTCTCGCGGAGCTTGGGTTTGGTGCTGAGTTTTTTTCTTTCGACTCCTAGGGACAGCCCAGGAATATGGAGGCATCATCAGACATGGAGCTAAACTGCTGTTTGCTTTCGCTGAAGCAACTGTGCCGAAAATTACCGTGATAACCAGAAAGGTACAGTAGTACTTCGATACAAATATTGGTACAAAAATATCCTTGTGTACGGATATAATCATTTATATTTAAGTCATTAGTCATGGTTCAGTGGTAATGACATAAAACAAAGCATTCTGTTTTAATTTTGAAGTAAGGCCAGATTTCTTTGCAGGTACATGAAAGGAGAAGGCAAGTGTGTGTACTATGAGAAATGGAGATGCATGGGATTTAACGTTTTGAATGTCTTCGTTCTGTCAAAGGCTTACGGGGGTGCCTATGATGTGATGAGCTCCAAGCACTTAAGAGGAGACGTGAACTACGCGTGGCCAACAGCTGAGGTGGCAGTCATGGGTGCCAAGGTAATTATGGCAGAGTCAACAGCTGTGGTGTTGAATCCTAGACGAGCAGCTGCACAGTTCTAGCAACGTTGGCACGGCCCATAAAGCACAGTACAAATACCGCAGTGAAGCAGCTAAAAAAATGAGAAACTGTCTATCCAGCAGCATCCTTTGCCTCTGACTTGGAAATGTTGTGACGTGTTGACTCCCATTTGTTACAGGGTGCTGTGCAGATTATTTTCAGGGGAAAGGAAAACCAGGAGGAGGCGGAAGCTGAATATGTTGAGAAGTTTGCAAACCCTTTCCCTGCTGCGGTCAGAGGTACAAATTTAAAACTATTTCAATCTAGTGTATGTTGCTTTTGAGAGACTTCTTGTTTTCTTTTTCAGTAGACAGCTCTGGCTAGAGTAGAGGCATGTCCCTTGCCAACTGCATTGCATAGACAACGTGCAGGTGCCTAGGAGGCCTCAGGGTTTGCAGTGTTCAGCCCATCACAAATGACAGGAGGCCATTTAAGCCATCGAGCCAGCTTGGTCATTAGTAATTGATCCAGGGCTCTCATCCAGCTGTTTCGAGAAAGAAACCGCTTCAAAAACATGGCTAGGTTGCTTGTTCCATCCTCACACAAGCCTTCGCATTGAAAGTGTTTGCTATTCTCGGTTTTAAATCCACTTCCATATAGTTTCGACCTGTGTCTGTCCTCTGTTGCTGGTACCATTGCATTTAATTCTCCAGCTATAGAGGCTCAAACCTGGAAATGTTTAAGGTGCTGAATACGATGAGAATGTATGGCAGTTCAGTGTTTCATTTTGTTTGCAGGCAACAAAACTTAATAGCAGCATAACAAGTTACTCTTCCAATGGAGGCTAGTTTAAGTCTTTTTTTTAATATATATATAGACAGGATTAAGTACAACAGAAAAGGTATTGTACATCACACTAATAATTAGCCTAGGACATAACGGAAATGTGTATTTATGCCTTTTCTAGGATTTGTGGACGATATCATTCAGCCTTCAACCACTCGGCTGCGAATCTGTCGGGATTTGGAGGTTCTAGCAAGTAAAAAACAAACAAATCCTTGGAAAAAACACGCCAACATTCCTCTGTGAGTTTGTACCTGAAAGTGTAGTATGTTTTATAGCAGATACGGTTTCAAACACCACCAATGTCTTTCGGTCGTTTTTTGCATAGACTGAATAAAATGAGAACAGAAATGAATAAAATGTTTTTAAAAATGAAAAAATGCTTTTTTTTTTTTACAAAGTACAACCTTAAAAATCAAAGCTATATTCTCAGAAGTGGGAAAAATGGATTAGTGATCTATGTATTAACTGTAATTTTGATCTTAGCTGGTACTGTAGTGATATTTGTAAAAGGCAATGAAATATCTCAACCTCGGATATACTCCTTGATTGGTCAGGGCTTGATAACATTCACTCCATGAATTGGCTACATTACTCTGCTCTCCTCCCCACTGATAGCTGATGTGTGGTGAGCGTTCTGGCGCACTATGGCTGCCGTCGCATCATCCAGGTGGATGCTGCACATTGGTGGTGGTGGAGGGGAGTCCCCATTACCTGTAAAGCGCTTTGAGTGGAGTGTCCAGAAAAAGCGCTATATAAGTGTAAGCAATTATTATTATTATTATTAGTACTGCTGGCAGAACATTAAACTATGAACTCTCCAGGGCAGAGCAAATTACTTACTTCAAATACACATGGTCTTTTAAGGCTTCAGTTCGAAGTTTAGACAGTTTCTGTGAGGGGTTCTGCATGTTTTAAAACAACTTATGACACCCATTGAAGGAAAAAAACTGAAAAAACCAATAAAGGGCAGAAAATCAACAGTTTTAGAACAGTTTATTAAAGGAAAGTGACGCCATCAGCTTTAAATTGTACAAAAAGAAAACTTTTTTAATATTGAAAATGTACAATTTACAGGATTACTAGCAAAACCAATCAAGGAGACACTCGAAATATAAAAGCTATTGAATCAGAACTGAATTTGAAACCCACCATGAAGGTACCTAGATATGAAACCTTTGTTATGCACTCTACAATACTGTCTAAATTAGAATTCCATTGTGATACAGGTGACTGCGAAGCACAAGGTTTGTTGCGACTAGGACTCAAACCATGCAGCATCTACTATGCTTCTATGCCCACAGAACTACAGTAGTGACATTTTAATCCAACCACTTTATAGCCAACAAAGCTCCAAAACCAATCCCACATTTTAGACTGCCTTCAATTTCGCCGCAGTCGTTTTAGAGTTTGTCTGGCACGCTGAAAGCTGGATTAGCATGTAGTCCACTATCATTTGGCAACAGATCTGTCCAAATATAACTGTACAAACATTTGACAAAAATCTCACTTGATTCAAAACTTCATACTAAAACTACTAAAATTCAAAATATTTTTACTTTATTCATTTAAAAACCCAGGTACATGATCCGTGTGACATTTCTGGAAAATACTTGTGAGAGTTAACTTTTAACTGTACATGTAAAAATGCTTGGTTTCTGTTTTTGCTGTAAAATGAGATCCAGAAGTTTTATTGGTTTAAAAGAATCCTGTCAGGAACTGTTAAGATTAAAATTTGAGCTATCAAGCTGCTGCAGTATTTCAACAATACTATACACAAAGATACAAAGATTTATTTCCAATAAATATGGATGACAGAAATTCAGAAAAATCTAGGTATTCTGTTCTTTCCAAGGGATTGCAGAAGAGATGAGTTGCAGAACTATTTTTCCATCCCCATGGACAATATCAGACAGCATAAGAACTTAAATCAGCCAAAGTAGTGTTAATTATGAAGGCATAATTAGCCTTTGCATGAATTAATCACTTAAAATTTCAACATTATTGAATTACCCTGGAGCTGGGGGGACATCTACACAGTGTTTCAGCTAAATAAAGGAGTCTTAAAAATCAGTTTTTTTTTGCAGACTAAGTGTAAACCTTTTATATTTGTATGCAAAACATGGTGAACAAAAAGGAAGCTGAACTGTAAGTGGCTGTACAGTGTCAAGAAAGCTGACAGTGGTCAGCAGCAGTTATTTCAAACATTTACATCTTTAAAACGTGGGATAGTGGAATCCGAATTCCAATGAATGAATTAAAAAGCGTACCACAATGTTAACCAAATCCAGTGTGATTCAGATGCTGTTGTATTGCAACGTGGCTAATTAACAGGATAGGCATGAGTTTTTAAAAAGTTATTTTTAAACAGGATGAATGAACTGGTTTTGTTTTAAAAATGTACAGCTTGTTTGTTTTTTTTTAATATAAATGTTATTCTGATTTATTTCAAAGAAAACTTTGTGGTGTCTATTTTGAGGAACACCTTAAAACACTGTAGCACCAGCACCTCCACTGTTAATAACATTTTTCTCCATCCAGTCATCTCTGGGAGGTACCAACAGTCACCACAATGGCAATGATCCTTTTCAGCCTTTTTCCTGCTTCTTCCCACTGATCATTCCTTTTTATATTTTATGTTAAAATATAACTGATCAATTTTTTGAATGTTTTATAACAAGCAATCACAGTATGAAGGCCCCTTGCTCCAGACTTCTGAGTTTCTGAAGCCTCTTCCTCAGTCTTCAGAACATAGGCATCCCAAAGCCCTGGATTACAAAAAAAGTGCAAAACAAGACTTTATATCGATATGCACCCATAAAACTAGATGCAACAAAAGGATTAAAACTAGCTTAACCAAAAAGTCATTCTACAGTGAATGCCTACCTCTGCTAATTTAATACTGTAGAGGTGTTTTAATATATAAAGGATATGCACGTCTTAAGTGTTTTGGCAGAAAGTTTTAAAATCAGCAATTTCAGGTGCTCTTTCAATATAGTTTATACACATGTACTCTACATTTTCTATCATTGTCCCAGGTTTTCTCTCCCCACCTCCCACATTATTCTTGACAAGCTTTTGTCCATAACAGACTACTCAACTAGAACACAAAACTTTAAATCTATATACACATGTTTTCTTGGCAGTAGTCAATTTTTCCAATAAGCAAGAAATGACCCATAAGAAGTCAGAATAATTAGCAATAAACGTTTCCAAAAAAACTGAAATAATTCTCAGAAATAATTGAGAAATTATTCATAAGGACTCAGACCAACCCTTATTAAAGGTCTGGAATTTAAGATCTAACCTCCACAATGCTGCTGGTGAAACTACAGCACTTGAAAACTGGCATCTTCTTTATACTCAAATTTTCTAACATAAGTTGCTCCTGGGCACACTTAAGGAGTTTTGTAACTAAATACATTTTTCTTATTCATTAGTGTCACGAATTCCATAAGAAATGAGTTATTCCTCTGATTCCTCAGAGTTATTTCAATAAAATGTCTGAATGGAGCTGCGAGACGCAGGTTTAAGACTCTATACAGAATATAAGCCAGGAAGTGGGGCAAACAGTTTCCTTGGAAAGAACTGAAGTCAATCAATCCTTTTAGAGTGTTCCTCCAGCACTGATTTTTGGTAAACAATTACTTATTTTTTGCATCAAGATTGTTTTATATGTGTGTATTGATTAAAAAGCAAAAAACAGAAATTGATACCAAATTTTGTTGAAGGCCAAAATATTAAGTTGGACAACATAGGTTGGAAAATTCAAATGACCTACAGCAATTACTAAGCACAGAATTATCCTGCTGTTGAAACTTTTATGCTGGTGAACAAGTTCATTCCTCTTCAGCAATCCAACTTTTTGAATGCATGTCGCGTCTTCAGATTTCCAAAACCTCTCATTACCTAGGTTGAGAGATTTACTGCTTACCGAGTCATCCTCTATAATAGCTGCAGAGTCAAAGAAATCTGGTCTCAGTTCTGCCCTCTCTCGTCTGTTCCTTGATGGAGGCTGTAAAATATTGAGAAAAATGTACTTAGGTATAGGCAATAAAGAAATAAACAATTTGAACACTTTAAAGAGAAATAGCTCAAATATCAATTTGGTATTTAAGATCATTTTAGATTTTTAAATTTGCTTTACATATCCAAAATGGAGAAAAAACAGGTGATGACATGAGTTCCCAGGCCTCCCTGCAGAAACTCACCAGGTCGATGACCATGGTGTCTTCAAACTCTTCATTCATGTCCTCCAGCTGCCCACGTGATGACATCATCACATCCTCAAATATCGGCTCTGCATCATCTTCCATGAGGCCACGACTAGGAAAGAGAAAGATCACATCTGCCTTTTAGTTCCTCCTTCCACCAAACGTGTTGACCTTTTTAATGCAACAGAAAATTCTTCCTGAATGTCAGACCCAAGTATTCGCAGTGCATGCGAACCTAAAAAAAAACATATAGGTTTCTTAATATTTCAAAAACGACACTTGATGCAGGAATAATAGTTGTGTACCACTTTCAGTCTAGTTGTGCTAACCAGGAACACCACAATTTCAGCACCACTTTCACACATTAGAGTACCTCTGCAGAAAAGTAACTGCAGACAGACTTACAGTACTAAAATTGAACCCTTCAAGAAATTCGCAACTCCTCCTGGGGAATATCCTGTGAAGAAACAAATACAGGAGCCGAATCAGTACTTACACAGTCTGCCTTACTCCACTTCTGGCTTTCATGTAGTTCATGCCTCCTCGGTCTTTCCGGTTGACCTCCTCCAGCTTCTGCTGCCCTAACCAGGACATCTGCATTTGTTGGCTGATAACGAAAGGAAATGGTTAAACTTAACATATACCTTAGAACGTATGACAGCCTACAAGAGCCACATTGTTTGCATCAGGCAATTAAGTCAAAGATGAAAATCAACACATTACAAACCACTATCTTGCATTACAAACCACTAACAGGGACAAAGTCTTTGAACAATGCAAAGACTACCACCCAAGCTGATCTGATGAGGCAGGAGCCCTTACTTGTGCACGTAGTCCGTTTCAGAACCTGGCTCAGAGTCTTGGTCCGGTATGTGCTCAGGGGCTTGCCGGGGGTTTTCCCGAAGAACTGTGGATGTCAGCTGTGGAGTCTGTAGAGCTCCAGGGGTCTGGATGGTATCATTTCTCATGAGCCAGGAACCTTCCACATTTTCCTCTGCAGTTCCAAGCACATATGTGATATGAGAGAGAGAGAGAGAAGAACGTGAGCCATGAAATATTAAAAAAACAACAACAATTTTTCACCCGATCAGAAGTATTAAAGAAGGATGCACCCTAAACTTTCCATGGCAAGTAAGAGCATGATTTAGTTTAAGCAGTGCCGTTTTGCACTACGTTTCGGAAGAGCGTGGTCCTACAGGAACGGGCAAGCCTGCCCTGTGCTGCTGCAGAGCTTGTCACCGAGGCCCCGCCCCCAGCCTGCCCCGCCCCCAGCCACACCCCCAGCCCTGCCCTTCCTCACCATCTATCCGCTTCTTGTGAAGTGGCGGTCGGCCCTTCTTGCTGCGCACGGAGGCAGCCTTGCTACTGCTGCTCCCACTGGTCACGGACAGCCTGTCCTCGTCGCCGCCAGTCAGGAGGGAGTTCCTGTAGGAGATGAGGGGCAGCCACACGTCCTCCCGCCGCTCCATCATCTGCTCCGTCATGAACTTCTCCAGGTACGAGTGGCTGCAAGGAGGGTGGCAGAGGAGTCGAGACAATCACCCTTACGGAGGGGCACGTCGGGCCGCTTCCAGTTTCCGCCGCCACAGACTCGTTACTTTGTAGTACACGGTACAGACGGCTCAGAAACGTTCAAAGCCTCAATATTATGGCTCAGCTGCACTAATCTGTGCTGCAATTCTCATGTGGTTTTGCTTTCGTTCTATTTAAAATGAAATATTAGGATTTCAGTGGGTTATGCAGAATTTTTGCATTTAACTGCTTATTTTGATCCAGGGTACTGAGGCCTATTTAGACAAGGAACATATACTCCACAGAAACCAGGTGGATGATACCCTAGGCCAGCAGAAGGTTAAGTAAAGGGACATTCATGTGTGACATTTACAAAGCAAGTAATCTTGTATTCCATGCTCACAACCCAGAGCACATGCCTATCTATCTATATAAAAGGACCACTGTGTACAGCACAATGCAATGCAAGTGTCTTTTGGCATCCCTGTGCACCAAAGCTTCTGAAATGATCAATTTCTACTTACACAGTCTTCTTGTCCTGACGAAGCAGCTTGGAGGAGAATTCACTGAGCACTTCAAGAAAAGCCAAGTTTGGAGGAGGAAATTCTGGGCCTTTCGGGTTTTGGAATTTGAAGGCAAACTCTATACCATCCCTATAAAAAACAATATATTCTTTTTACAATGGCTATGCACTAACTAAAACAGCTACTGATTTTTTAAGGCCAATGATAGTTCAGTGATTCAAGGTTAAATTAATATTTGGAAATGTGTTCATTTAAATTAACCAGTACAATTTTAGTTAAAACTTTATCAAACAAAATATTTATTTAACCATAGGACACTGATTCCCAACCCTGGTCCTGTAGGAACACTTGCCTTCTGGTTTGTGGTCCAGCTAAGCTCCTAATCACAGGCTAAATCATTTCAGTTTTCTATTTGGGGCATATTAGCATATTGGTCTTAAACACTTAAAAAGGTCAAATGGTATTTTTAATTGGCATCAACCCTGTACCACTTTCAGAACTGCCCTCATTTGGGTGTGTAGTCTCAAATATAACCAACCAGACCTCTCCAGAAGGAAAAACTGCTCATTGTGGGAGTCTCTCATACAGTGTCCCACCTATCATCATCAAGAGCTGTTTAGTAAGAAACAACAACAAGCAAGATGAGGAGCTGCTGTGTAAAATTCTTTGTGCTGAAGCTGTTGGATACCTACTTCAGAAGACATTCAGGACTAACCAACGAAACAAGTTCAATATAAGTTGTCTTTCTTCTTTAAATTGAACAGCACTGGAGATGTAGAGCTCAGGTGGAATACAAACCAAAAAAGACAGTGCAGGGAATCACAGCTATAGAAAGAAGCTAAGAAATCCTGACTTAAAGCTAAGAACTCAGAAGGTTAATATTCAGAGCTACTCAGATAACCGATTCTACTCCTCATTAGGTGCACTCCATTTTAAAAAAATGTTTTAACAGTAGCCTCTGCCACACTGGGCAGTTTCCCAGGCTGTAAAGAAACCAGATTAGTAAACCAAAAAGTTTATCTTTAACCTCTCATACAATCGAAATAAAACACAAATTCTAACACCACTCTTTTTTGCAAACCAAACGGTTTGACACATGTACTACCAGTGCTGCACTTTTGTGAAGAAAAATGAATGTGTACTCACTTGTGCAGAGTTGCAACAGCCTCTCTCGTTTTGATCTGGTCCAGACCAAATGTAAGTGCGAATCTGCGAGCCAGCTCCTTAATTCCACTGACATGAGAAGATGTTCTGTCCAGGTTCGGGCCTTGATCCTGAATAAGCTCATTAAAGAGCTAAAACAAAAATAACCATATTCCATAAACATGCATCATCTGCATATTTGACTCTGTTTCATTTTCCCAATTCACTCAGTTTTTTAATTTTTGATTGGATTCTTAAATCAGAAGCTAACTGAATTTTCTGACTGAGCTACATTTGATAAAATGTCCTCTCAGCTCTAAGAATGTTTTTTTTTTAAACGTTAGTGGACGCGTCCTCTAATTTTAAGGTGTTAACTGAAACGTAACCAACTGGACCATTGCAGCAGGAAAACCCCTCACTATTAAAGTGTTAGATTCACTGCCACTCCCACCCATACATTAACCATTAACTGACTGCAGATTAGGGAGCAAACACTTCCAATGGGTAGAAGAGAGATTGCATAAAGATCTATGTGCTGACATTTTTGGAAACTTCAAGGCAAAAAAAACAGCAGAAACAGCTGTGGTCTAAACAAGCAAGCACATCAGTTAAAGGCACCAGTTAGTATTAGTGAGCTTGGCTTGAGCAAAAAGACAGAGAAGGGGTTTCCCAGGCCCAGAAACCACTGTCCACTATCATATCAATGCTTTAAGTACTGCTGCCAGTGAGGCACTACAGCTGAAACTTAATTCCTTATGCATTCTTTACCACTATTAAACAGATGAAGGCGATTTGGCTTTTTTATTTAAATTAAAAAATAATCTTGATAAATTAAGTCAAAATTCAATTCAATACTTATTCACTGACTGCACTTCCTTACCTGTTGCAAGCTGAGGATGAGAGTTTTTGCACACTGAATCTTGTCCGTTTGCCTTGTTTTACTTAGCGTTTCTTTGATGATATCCCCATAATCGTTGTAGTACTGAAGGAAAGAAATATTGAAATAAGACATTCAAAATAATAATTCAGACAATTACATTACAAAATTCATTTCCTCACATTAAGAAATGTATAATAGAGCTGGTCGGTACAAAGAGGAACTCACCTTCATATAGTGTTTGAAGATGTCAGCAGCTGCGTGCATGTCAACAATGTCATAGATGATGAGCTTGCTGAAGGCCGCCAGCAGGTTCCTCCTCTTGTGTAAGGCCTCGATCTTGTTAGCTTCATCCTCTTCGTCACCCTCTATGAGCAACAAATACAGCAATTATCCCAGGAAACAATTTCACTGTACAAATCACACCTGCAGACTTTTACCACAGATAAACACAAATCAAAACCAACAGCTGTAACGGTCACATCTCAAAAGTAGTCCTCCAGGTCAATGACTATAATAATCTCCCTGCATCAGACCCGAACAAAACATTTTCAAGAAAATAGTTTTTCAGAATTCCCACTCCTGACAGAATCAGAACAGCTTTTAATCCTACTAAAAGCAGTTATTTTACAGGAGAGGGGGACAGTCAATAGACTTTGCAGCTCAGTGACAAAACTTAAAATAAACAGCAAATAAAGCTCACTGAATTGGAACAATATTACATACAGCCTCATCATCTGACTGACTGCTCCATCGGCCCGCCTTACCCATGCTTTGGTTCTCCTCATCTTGATCAATGAAAACATGGTCCAGAACGAAGTTGAGGAGCTCGTTCTGCAACTGCGTGTCTGGATTAAAAACCAGAGGCTGCAGCCCTTCCCTGCTCCCTGTGGTCAGCTGATGGCTGAAGATCATGAGGAGATCGCACAGCAGCATGAAGGCCTGAAACCAGGAAAGCGTCTGGGTTTAACACCGTGATCACACCCAAGTCCACAAGAAATAGCTAAGTGCACAAAAGAGAGAATTACTGTCTCCCTTACCTGTTCCTTGACTGGAGTGTTGACATTGGACAAGCACTGCTGACAGACCGCGAGGAAAGATTTGACAACTCTTCTTAGTGCAATAAGATCATCCTGGACAATAAAACAGCACAGTAATGGTACACAGGAATATCCTTTATGCTGCAGCGTGACACTTCACATGCAATTTAAAGTAATAGTGTACCTTGGATGGGGAACCTTCTGTTATCTTGACTAGTTGCCATAAAATAGAGTAATGGGAACATTGCAGAGCCTGTACTGCAATCTGAAAACAGGGGGGAAATGTAGGCAAATCAGACAAATGTGAATAAAGTAGTGGCGCTCCAGAGCTCAATGCAACACAAAGCTTGAAGCAAGACATCCAAAAACGTTTATGACTAGAACGATAAAGATCCGAACATGGATTAACATTAAAAGTTTAAAATTATAATCACTATGAGCTTTAACTACACATGAACAATATTCTTAGTAAAACAATTCACACTCAGATAACTATTCAGCAGGTTTTTAAACATATGCACCCAAGTCTAGAATATTAATTATACACTTATTCCTTAAATAACTGAACATTTAACACACTTTTGTGTTTAATGTCATGCTTTATTATTTCAAAACCTTCATTAAAGCTTAAAAGTTTCATCACTTCAGGGTACGTAGCCTTTTACCTGCTCTGGCATTGATCCCTGCTCAATACCAGTCTTCAGCAACCTGTAGCAATTCCCAAACAAATCCCATCTCGTAAGATCATGTGCACTAAACAAGGAAAGAAAAAAATCATTTTTGGATATCTATAGGATCAAATAAAAGACTTAGGATCTTTGAAAATCAATGTAGAACTACTCTTTAATACAAGACAAGATTCAGGATGCACCTACTTATGAAATGCTGTTAGCCTCTTGAGAGTGGAAAGCACATTGTAAATGTCGTCGTCATCTGCCTCTTCACCCTAAGAATATAAAAGGTGCTTTATCTCGAAGAAACAAAACCTTATTTGCACAGAAAAGGAATGAAATGAAAAGAAAATGAACAACTATTTTAGCAGTACTGTTGTTTTAAAGGGTGATTAGCACTGCTGCCTCCCAGCGCTGGGGCCCAAGGGTTCAGTGGCTTGGGTGCTATCTGCATGGAGTTTATATGTTCTCCCCACTTTCAGGTGGATCTCCTCCAGAGTGCTCCACTTCCTCCCACAGTCCAAAGACATACCGTTAGGTTCAGTGGCTTCTGAGAAAACTGCCCCCCGGTAAGTGTGTGCACATCTGCGTTTGTGGCTGCCCATCCAGAGTGCATCCTGCCTTGTGCCCGTTACTGGCTGGGATAGACTCCGACCACCCCCCCCCACAACCCTCCACTGGATGAAACGGTCAGAAAATGGATGGATGTGGTTTTAAATGACTGCATGTTTCTTTTTAACTATCTCCTTTAACTTACAACTGGAAACCCACTAAAGTTAAGTAGGTGTGAGCCTGGCCAGTACTTGGATGGGAGACCTCCTGGGATAGGTAAGGTTGCTGCAGGAAAAGGTGTTAGTGGGGCCAATAGGGGGCGCTCTCCCTGCGGTCTGGGTGGGTCCTATATTGCAAGAAATACGCCTTCCTTTTTGAGTGTTTCTCGAAAAGAGTAGGGGTGTTACCCCAGTGTCCTGGCCAAATTTCCCACTGGCCTTTACCAATCATGGCCGCCTAATAATCCCCATCTCTGAACTGGCTTCACATCACTCTGCCCCCCCCCACTGATAGCTGGTGTGTGGGGAGTGTACTGGTGCATCATCCAGGTGGGGCTGCACACTGGTGAGGGTGGAGGAGAGTCCTCATTGCCTGCAAAGCACTTTGAATGGAGTGTCCAGAAAAGCACGATATAACCGTAAGGAATTATTAACTGAATAAAACATTCCTTGCTCCGTACCTCCTGTAGCAGGTCCTCCACCGAGTGGCTGAAGCGATCCACCATCTCGTCAATCAGCTGGCTGCGGGCAATGTCCACTCGGTTCATGATGGTGTACTCCTCACTGCACAGGATGCTGTACGTTTTACTGCAGGCTTCCAAAACCTCAGTCTCAGTGTGCTTTTCCACTACAAACTTGATCTGCTTTAACAAGGCATCTAGGTGCTGAGAAAAGAGAAGGACATCTAAACTAGCATCCTTACATTAAGTGGCTGCGATGAGCAGATTTTTTTTTTTGCAGTATCGGTGAAAAGAAAAAGAGAAGCACAACAAAGCTCTTACTTTCTCCATCCTCCCAGCGCTGTACACATCAAGGTCAAAATACTGAGGGATCTGCAGGAGGTTTGCCACTTTCTCAGAATCTGCCTGATACTTTAAAATAAAGTTGAAAAGGCTTATTTAATTACATCACAGTCCACATTCACACCTTAATTAACATGAGCGAAAAATTGCGTTCTCCTCAATTCTGAAGATAGGTATTGATCTAAATAGCTACTATTCCTAACAGGCATTTTTAAAATGAATGATACACAATGTGCACCTGCATGGATAATTATAAGCAAGTAACTCTGGCTACAAGGGTGGCAAATAGGTCAATCGAGACATTAATCTCACCTTTGAAAGCAACATTGGAAGTGCCATAATGAAGTGTTCCGTTAATTTATTTTTGTCATCGATCTGTGTTTTTCTCTCTTTGGCAGTCAGAACCTGAAGAAAGATGAATTGGTTTTTAATAGAAGCACCATATGCGTTTAAAACTACAAACTTTCAAGGTTTTTATTCTTCACGAGTAAACAGATACTTCATCTGGGACATAAGATACCTTAAACACACTTATCTCAAATATATGAAATAAGCAGAAAAATCAATTTCACACCCAGAGACTCCTTGACTTGACAAGATTCAAACTCCACTTTTATTCAAAAAGGCGGACAATGCAACAAGAGCACACCAGGCACATCTAGAGTCCACAGGCAGTATTCATCAAGCTTACCCTTTTCCCAGTCCCTCTGCCTACTGGAGGGTGTGCCTCTGCTGCTTGCCGAATGGTGCACACCAGCAGCTCGATCAGTGCACTCTCCTGCCTGTCCGACAGCACTGCAAGAGAAAGACAAATCCGATGAGCACATGGCAATGCAACACATATACACTTTAGACGCACCAGCAGATCCATCTTGTGTTCATTACCGTAACCGATACTTAATATTGATCTTCTGAATATAGAGGTCACTTTTACCAAAACTCAGGTGTTCATTTTTTTTAATAGTCTTCCATCGGCTACCTGAACGATGCACATATCCATATACAAACTAAGCAACAACAAAAAAAAGACTGACAGCTCTAGATGGGCTTATGGGGATCTTTTTGAAGTCACCCCTGAAATGAGTTTGAATTTTCTTTACCTAAATTTCATCATATTTAAAAATAAATCATCCATTCAAATTCTGTAACAGTACAGGGTCTTTCTGCAATACCTTATGTAAGAGAAAGCCTTTAGAAATCGGAACTGGAAAACAAATTGCAAATCATGGTCATTTTCGGCCAGTTTGTGCAGAATTCTTACAAACCATTTTAGATCCAGTACCTTCCTCTCCTTGCACAGGTTCCTCCAGCAGCAGCTCCGTCATGCACTCCCAGTCTTTCAGAAGTTCCTGCGAGCTTTCCCACAAACTGTCCACCAAATACGCAGCATGCTCATGCAGCTGCCGTTCAAAAGAAAAGAATTTTTCACATAACGAAAACACCGGATTTAAAACGATCACTATCAGGAACCCAATACCGAACTGCGTAAACTGAAGAATATTTAAAATCCTCTTGCGTGTCTGTAGTAGCATCTCGCAGCCTGATTTTCATCACATTTCAGACACCAAGCAAGGTTGGGACTGGTCAGTACAGAGGGAAATCAGGTGGTATGTGTATATGAATTCCACTCTGGGCTTAAATGATCTGGCCAGCCTACAGTTCCCCTTAATTAGATTGGTGAAGCAACTGATCCCTTCTCCACCTGATCTGCTGTGCAGCGGGGCTGAAGGGGTTCTCTCCACTTGGGGTTCTTTGGAGATGAAAAGCGCTGGACAAATGCAAGATACCACTTACCTCACTTTCTAAGAAGAAAAGCACCAGCATTCTGATGAGATTTCCATTTGGGCTGTTTCTCCCCCTTCTTTTAGCCAAGGCCTCTTCTGCCTGGGGATCATGCCGGCTAAACAGCCTAAAACATTAAAGCAAATAAAACGTGTCCTTTAGATCCAGAATTCTTTTTATTTTACAGAACAAAATCATTTTTCTAGAAGACAGCACACAGAAATTGGAGTACACACCGGTAGAAAGTGGTATTCGGCATGTATTTTCACGCCTCTAGTGCTGTGAAATTCATTCAAAAACAGGCTTGAACATTCACAGTGCTGCCACCATCTGGGCATTTGTGGTAATACATCTATTTAAATACACAGGTTCTGAGAAACTAAATCAAAGAACGTGTTTCCTTTCTTCTCTTTTCAGGAGGGAATAAACCTTTACTTGTTCCTTTGCAGCCTATGCATGCTGACGCAGCTACCTCCTTGAACTAAATCAAAGAAGACTGAGTCTAAGAAATGTTCTCATGTTAGGCAAAAAGCGACTGTTTCTGTAAAAAAAATCAAATGCAGTATCTTTAAAAAGCTTAAGGCCTGAAACAAATTCCTGTAATTGTAGGAATTTAGAGCAGAGGTACATGGTGTGACAAAAATAAGCACCTTCAAAAATAAACAGGCACTTCCATTAACATCAAACATATAGAAAGTACACAAGAAACGGCAACATAAAAAAGTCACTTTAATCTTCGTCACATGGATAAATTCCCTTCAGACAAACACTTTTGATTAGCAAAAGGCACCTAAAAAATAACAAGGCCCTAAAACTCCTTCTCCTTAGACGGGAAAGGAAAGACCTGATTTACAACAGCTCTGAGAAAAAGGAAGCAGGAGGATATATAAACAACAGAGTCAACCACTGTTCAAAGGCTGTAAAGTCAAATTTTACTAGAAAAACAGGGGCAACTGGTGCTTAACCGAGGAAGGAGGGAAGAGGACTTACTTCCGATGCAGGAACTCTCCCGCTGCCACAGCCACAGGGCGGTGTGCCGAGTACACCAGATGGTACACGTTCTCACAGTCCTCGTTGGACAGAGCGTCTTCGCTCCCCCTGCGACATTCAACACGCTCGTTAGGAAAGCGGGAGGCCGTGCGAAAGCGTGCTTCGACATCTGCATCTGACGAAAGGGGGTTGTGTTTTTGGCGACGGACGGACATTAGCTTGAGGTGCAGAGCGGGATGGCGGGGGGCGAGGGGCGAGGGGCGGAGGACTGTTATGGTGTCTCATACTCACTGCAGAATTAACGTCACCAATCGGATGGCCTCGACCGCAACATCGTATTCCTTATCAAGCGTCATCGATACAATACGATCCTGGAAGAAAAAAGGCAAAAAGACATAAAGAGACCACAGACACTGTTTAGATCTGCTTTGGCAGTACGTGCTCATATACTAACTGCTGTCTGTCCAATTCTCAACACTGATCTCTAGTGAAAGGGGTTTGCAAGAATTCTTCAATGGACTCTGAGGAGCAAAGAATGATGAAAGGGATCTGGAAACTCCACTCCCCCCCAACAGCAAAATTATTAAAGTTAAGTATAATACAACTTAAATACAAGTATGAAGATGCCAAGCAAGCTAGAGATCACAAAGGTGAGAAAAGCAAAAGGAAAATGCTTTGCTTCAGCATAACTCTGGGATTTTCGAAAGCTCTACTTGAAAAGTAATAAAAAACAGAAGAGGAGATCAGGATGAAATGCTCTGAAAGTGGTCCAGTAAATGTACTTGTATCCATGCTCTCAAGGTAGGCTTGTGTCTTCAAAATAAACAGTTCAGTGGGTTTCCTACCTTAAACCTGTTGGTAAACAGCTCCAGTTTGGGGAAGAGTTCTCGGTTTGTATACAAGTTTTGAAGAGCTTTCAAACACTTCAGCCTAACTTCACCTTGCTGTTAATAAAAGAGCAAAATTAGTAAGCAAATTCCACATACAACTCTCAAACTAATCAGGTCAAACTAATCAGGTGATTAAGACAATCAATAACTTTTCAGCTGAGCAGTTTAAAAATATTAAAAATTCCAATCTCAAGAACTGTAAAATTGATATAACTGAGAACCAGTGCTAATTTCGCAGTTATTCAGGAAACATTTTAATAAGAATTCTTACCCGATCATGCAGTGTCCAGCCCACATACTTCAGGTAACTATCGTTTAGAAAAGCGTCACTGTACATCTTCATCCACACACCAATTTCTTCTATACAAATAGCCCTGATCTCAGCAATAGCATCCCTGCAACAATATGCCAAAGAATTTATTTCAGTTCAAAATAAACGCAAATAACCCACTTGAATTCTGACTGGAAAGCTCGGAGCACTCACCTATAACGGTGAACAAAAATGCCCTTAAAAATTGAATTCATCATGTTTTCAATTTCATCTTGGTTCTCTTGGAGCTGCAGAATAAAACACGAACCATTTATCACAAAAGTAATAACACCTATACAAGGTTAAAGGACTTTCACTGCATAAGATGCCAGTTATTCATTACGATGGACAGAGCAGTCAGCTCAACCCCCCTGAAGTGAAAATGGGCATACATGACTTGTTTTACTCCTATCTACACTTTCACTGCAAGAGTAATATACTGGACTTTGTACTTTTGATGTACTTTTAATAGAGTAATTTGAGGATTTTTGACAATTACTCCACTTCAGCATTGTAAACAGGTTTTAAATGCATAAAAAGTTCTCATTTCTGACCTCTTTTCTCTTTTCTAGCAGCAGTTCTAATTTCTCATTGGCTCTCTTTCCAGCAATTTTGTTTCGCTCTGCCTCATACTGTCGTTGTGTGTTATCCTGATGAATACTGAGATTCAAGGCCACATTGACGAGAGCTGTCATGAGCTTCATAGCTGTGGAAGATAAGGAAAAGGAGGTTTAAGGGATGGATATACAGTACTTCTGTTCTCGATAGGATACTTACATCAACATGTTCACTACAAGCTTAGACTACCGCCATGCCCACCAACATCAAAAAGGTATGAAACCACTACAATTCTGTACTTCAGAGGCACAGCTCAATAGAGCTGCAAATGAAAACACTTGTTCAATAAGCAGCACCGCAAGAAACTGACCATTTTAAACACCATCAGGATCGATAAAATCAGCCTGTGAACCTTGGACCAGCAGGACAGCTCCAGCGAAAATCTAGGGACCTGACTATATATCAATCTTAAAAATCTAATATCATACAGCATGCTTAGGAGGATCAAAAGAGCGATCTCCTGTGTCACCTCACTGTGACACAAAAAGGATTTCTCCTGTCTCCGTGCCGTGAGTAAACAGTGGCTGCTTTCACTTAACTGCAAAAGCATTGCTCTTCAAAAAAAGGTCTACTTTAAACTCACTTCTGAGACATCACAGAGCATGTGGCAAGCCTTGAATTAATCTGTCAAAGCACATAACCTTGCTTACCTGCCAACGTGCTGGTATGCCTGAAGGCTCTGACCTGGGAGTCCGAGAGACCCGTCAGTAGAGAGATTACTGTGTCCATCATGTACTCATCATAAATTATACTATACTGGCACTGTCGGATCAGGACTCCAATAAATTCACAGAAATTGTACCGGAATTTCTTCCACTGAGGTCCTGGCATAGTGAGAGGATAATCACCACTATCCTGGAAAAAAGAAATCAGGTATTGGACAAAGGGATGAGAAAACTCTCTCAATATTGTGTACTCAAAGCCCTTATAAATAAGCCACCTTCTTGGGTTTTCAAAAAGTAACAGTGGCGAGTTACCGACTATATCAAAGCACATTTTCACACACCACCGACATCATATTCTGGGAAAAAATAGAAATGAACCTGCACCTGAGACAGAACAGTTAAGAGTTGAGAAACTGAACTGTTGAAAAGAGTGTTCTGTCACAGTTAATCTAAATGTTGACTACTGTGAAATAGAACTGTAAATATTTATAAAAGGCATTGCAACTGTCAAGACTAGTAATTACCAGCCTAAGAGATATTATCGCTGTATTAAGGGTTGCTCTCTGAAATTGTATTTTGACAGAAGCCAACTGGAGCATTGCCAAAGAACACTGTTTGCTTGTTTGGCTTGAATTTCACAAAACAAGAAAGATGAGTAAAAACTGTTAAAAGGCGTCTGTGCAACTCTTTACTGCTGTAAAATTAATTGCAATCTGATTAAGCAAATGTTGTCCAAAACAAAAGTAATCCCCTGACAACTAAACTAGATGCAGACTGCATCTTTAACCAAATCACCTCATCAAATTCTTCTGTCATTTTTCGGATGATCTCTGCATTTTGCATGTTGCGAAACATCTCAATTCTTACAGTGCCTGTAACACAACCCACAAATATGAAATGTTAGTTCAAATGCCTGAAAGGTTCTCTTTATAAATACACGACAAAAACTCTTTACTAAAATGTAAATGAAAAAATAGCAAACACAGATTGATTTACCTTTTCTAGAAATCAGCCTTTTCCAAAATGCACAAATCAGTATATCTAAAACTAATTTTCTGTTAACGTTCAACTGTATTTCACAACATGTAACGCAAACTAATGGGCTAGTAAGATAAGGCAGGGTTTAGCAAAGTATAACTCCTTCTCCTGAAACCACTCGCACCACAAGTTCAAATCCAGTTCAGGTTAGAAATTAAATCTGGCACAGATATCGTCTTATTGGCTGTTCGCCCACGGAACAGGGCAACCAAGCAGCTTTGCTTTGTTCAGGGCCCGGGACTGAACAGCAGCGAGTATTCAGCCTTGATTTCCAAGACGACCCTTCGTTGTGTAAAGGAGGAATCTCTCTCTCGCGGCGCGGGTTTCTAAACACCAGCGAGCACAAAAGTCGCACCCAACCACAAACAAAAACGGGGAAATATTACCTTTACAACCAGAACACTGAATGAAAAAGTTGATCAGGTCCAGAAGTGCTATATCTCGGTCCTGTTTGTAGGACTCAATCCAGTCATCCACGACAGACTTTAACAAAAGAATGAAAAGAGCGTTAAAGGGCCTTCGAGTTTATTGTGATCGAAGCGACTAAAAAGGAGAGGATGTGGCGAAGGAGGGAGAAAAGGGCACCTGCATCGCGCTCTTGCCCATCTTCACCACCTCGAACAGGGTGACGGGGTCGCCCTCCCCGTTCTGCTGCGCCACGCCGTTGGCCTTCCTGCCCCGGGGGACGCCCACGTGGCTCTTCTCCGCCGGCGTCTTTCGCGGCTTCTTGTTGGCGGACTGGAGGCGCAGAAACACAACAGGGGATCACACCCGGCTTCCTCGATGCCTCGGACGCGCGCTCAAGGAGCTCCGAAGCGCCGCGGGTCGCTACGGCTCCCGAGAGCGCTGCGGCTCGGCGCCCGTTTCCCGCCATCTGCGGCAGCAAAGGGGTCTCCTCTGGGGCTCTGACAGGATGTCACTAGATGAGGAGGAACCCCACTGAAGCCCACATGGTGAAAATATACTGCAATGTGTTCCAGGCCAGACAAAAAACCTCTAAGGAAAGGCGCAATCTAATCCCTCCCCCGCAGCCTGTTGGCCGCCTTTTTAGCTTTCTAAACAAAATTCACAGATTAAACTTTTAGTTTGTGTGCGTCTTTGCAGCCAGTCACACTGAGGCTCTTGAGCACGCTGCCTTGTCAAGGGCCCTCTCAGGCCCTCCTGCTGTACGGCTGATGCTTACCGGTGGTCGGCCAGGACGCCCCCTCTTCCTCTTGCCTTTGTCTTCCAGCTCTGCCACACTGACAGCCAGACTGACCGTCTCGGCCTGCCCAGACTCGTTAGTGGAGTCCCTGCGACATACAAATCAATCAGCGAATGAGTGACAGGTAAAGCCAAAAGCCAGAATTTATGGCTACAGCAGGCTGGCAGAAATCACACCTAAATCCAATCAAGACACATACCAAAGGCACAGTATTGCATGGATTTTCACAGACAAGACCACGTCTTGGGTCAGATAACACACAAGGGAGACTTATTAGAGACTTAATACATAAGGAAGACAAACAAGATAATAGCTCACCATAGGAGGACTGAAATCCTAAACTTTAAAGGCTGGTATATACATATCCCTTCTCAAAAAAACAATCTTAGAAAGCATTATAGATTGAAGACTTTGGTGCATGCTTAAATCAGCACAGTAAGGCAAGATGAAAAAGAAAACTGAATATGACCAACATCTGATAAGTCTGATCACTATGTATCTGAATAGCCATGAATATTTATACTTACTGTAAAACTGGTAACTCTGAAGTTATCATTTTGTAAAGTAGTTTCCACCTCAGGAGGGCTTTAACAGAATTCAGAGATTTCTCCAAGTGCTTTATTATCGTTATTAAACAGGTGTGAGAACATGCAATGGAACTGTCTTCTTCTGCATTCAGATGACTTCAGGAAAGTCATATCCCACAATCTAAAAAAAAAAAGAGAAAAACACACTGGTCTTACACAACCATCCCCATTAAAAAAAAAATCTATATAGCTCGAAACCACATGTGTAGTACATTTTAGTTGTTCAAGTTCAAGTCACAAAAAAATAAATTTTAACACCGGAGCACAGAGACCATTTTGCTGCTGTTCATTCAAAAACCAAACAGGCAGCACAGTTCAAGGAAAAAGTGAGAACGGAGACACCAACTGGCATTTTCATGTACTGCAACAAAACCAAAAAGTCCAAAACGGTGCAGCAAGGGATTAGTTTTAAAACAAAAATAGTACAACCTGTTCAAGATATAGTTTCAGATTAAATAATTCCAGTCCAACCACATTTTTTTTGTTTTCTTTATATCCAAGGAAAAAAACTTGCTTACCGATTCTTTAAACACATTTTAAAAAATATTTAGAATGGAAAGCCTAAATTCCAATGACAGTTCATATTTTTTACACATTCCAGTTGGGTTGTGCAAGCAACTGGAAAATGAACTTGCTCCCATAAACTGGAGTTTAAGGGTATATGGTAGGAAAGCAAAATAAAAGTACAGTTTGTGATTTTAAAAGCAAGCTTGCATGATCATTTTCTAAGCCACTTAATTATACAATAAAAAAATAAAATGACACTAATGTAAATACAATTACAAATTTCTTCACAAAATCTTAAGTTTTTACTTTTCAACAGACCGAATGTCATCAATATTGTCCTTCATGGAACCACTAGGGGCAGTATGAACCACAAAGTATTTTTACCTACATTAATAAGAACACTGACAATTTAAACCCGCTGATGAAAAATTGACTGTTCGATTCTGCTTTGAAGTAACATCTATATTATCGTTCAACTGCACTTTTCTTGGTTTACCGTTTAGTTATTTCTTGATTAAACCAGATGTGAAAAGAAGCGTGACAAAATGTGTTTTAAAAGATTTGGACAACAGTAGGGGGCAGGCTAAGAAAGACTTAATTTAAATACTCCAGAGCAACCCCCACACACATTCAAGATTACTACTTATCAGGCCCTGAGATGTCATTAAATGTGGCACTGGACTGACTGAATTAGCACTTTTCACTTTAGGATCTGTCAGACCACTTCAATGATGCACTTCAGAATGAGGCAAATCTGAACTCGATCAAGACGACGCCAATCTAGATTCTGAAATGTCCTGGGCACACACATCTTCTAAATAAAATAAACTTTCATTCGGGAAATGATCATGGGGAGATCCAAGGGGCAAACCGAAATGCTCCTTTTTAAGCAACAATAGCCCTCTCTTTTCAAAGTGTTTTACCATCCCTAACAGAACTTATATGAAGGCTGTTTCAAAGACACCTGCCCCTTCCAGCTACCCTTCCCCGAGCAAAGGAAACGGTTAATCGCTAACTTGTTTAGCCAGCCACTAGGTGGCTGTACATTGTAAGTGGAATATGTTTCAGTTTTTTGCAGGTTGTACAGTGCTGAAGTCTGCACTCGAGGCACTGCTAGAGCACAGTTTTCACTCTGTGAACAACATTCCATACATTACCAGCAGAGGGGTCTGCTAGATAAGGAGAATCGCAGCAAGTTTAAAAAAAAAAAATATGAGTGGACTGTAAAGCAAGGAGACAGCCAGCCAGCCCTGTTTTCACAACACTCAAGACAGCCAGGGAGGAAAAGGCACACAGCGCGCAGGGCCATGAGAGACAGGCTCACTCTGAGTGACAGCTTGCCCACTAAGGCATGTTGGGTTGGGATTTCAGCTCCGTTCTTGTTAGCCTGCCTCTCAAGAATAGCTGGGCAATGCCGACCAGGCTGCCTGGTTACCAGGAAACTCTTCACTAATCCTGCCCCCCCCCGTCCGGCCGCCGTTTGAGCGGACAGCGCCGGCCGGCCGGCGGGCGATGAATGGAGTGTGCTCGCGCGCGTCTGCGCCCGCGAGCGCCGGGCCTCCCCTCCCCCACCCGCGGCAGGCCGGCTCGCGGGCGAGGGGGCGGGGCTCCAGCCGGACCCCGGGGGACGCGCGCGACCGGAGGAGCCCCGCGGTCGCCCGGCCCCGACGCCCGCGAGAGACGGGGAGAGAGGGGCCCGGATGTGCAGGGGGGGGAGGGGGTACAGGCCGGCCCGAGAGTCGCTCAGTGCGGGACGGGGGGCTTCCCTCACGACTGAGCTGGCGTGCACTGCTGGAAAAATAACTCCACAAAGCTGCAACTTTTCCACTTTCAGTGTTTAAAAAAAAATAAAAAGAGACTTTTCCCCCATAGAAAAACAATTCAAATCAATGTATGACTTAAATTTCAAATCCATATTATTCACATAATAAATGACACTACACCAGGATAAACAGCCCCCCCTCTTAACTGAGCTTGAGTGTTAACAAAACCACGCATATTTAAATCGGCTTCGATGCTCAATCGTATTTCGTCAGACCCAGGGAGTTACAGTGCTGCGTCAGACAATAGAGGAGTCCGTTCTGGACAGAGGTCAGAAAAGGGCACTGGGGCTGCCAACAGCAGGTCAAAGAAAGGTCATTTCGCCAGCGTATTTCTGTCCCAACACCGACTGCAAGGAGACACAGACCAGGGCAGGGGTTTCCAACTTCAAGCAAGAGCAGGGCGTTATTTTTGTGATCATCCAAATTCCAGAAAAGTTTTTTAAAACTCTTCCTGTTCCAACACGAGCAATATTACTGCCAAGCTATAATCCACTTGACATAACAAAGCACCCTTTCTAGAACCAACTAGATATACGAGGTGACCTTTGAAGGACTAATCACATTTTGTGTACATGACCACCAGACACGGCTACACTGATTTATGTAATAGGAATCTCTGTCTGCACAGTCTCCTCACTGAGACTGCAATTGCTTTGCCCCCAGGCGATAGTATATGAAGAACTGTTAGTAGGCAAGAAAACACACAGGGGTATAAACATACATTAATCAAGCGCAGGAGAAGAGCAGTGCCTTGGATGACTTGCACTTTCTGCCTGCGAGAGTGATGTAATGGGTATCGCACTCTGGGCTAGAGGTTAATGATTGTCGGAGACCAGCTCAGTTCAACAAACCCAACAGCTACAAGAGCAGGGGGGAAAGGCCACATTAGTGCAAGGAAGGACTCTTGTCAAGAATTAAAAGCAAGCGATAAAAAATCAACAACAAAAGGGCGGTTTACAAAAGGCCAATAATGAGCCTCTGACATTAAAAAAATGTAAAATGCATGGTACTAGTAAAAAAATTAAGTATGATTTTTCAATTCAGATTTGTCATCTGAAGTGAACAGGATGAGAAAAAAATGGGAAAACTGTCTCAAAGAACCAACAATTAGTCATGCAACTGCTTGCATTTGGAGTACGTATAAGCATAGCTCAAGAACACATGTCCCTGATACACATGCAGGCACACCACCTATCTGTGGTCTACAAACTGTAAAAAACAAGAATAATTAACAGAATCGTTAACTTTCAGCAAGCGCTTCTATCCAGTTTAACAGCCTCCTCTTCAAACCAGGCCAATAATACCTCACTCTCAAATGCATCCTTTCATTATTAACCAGCAGGCCATTTTTGCAATTTAATGAAAAGTGGATAAACCTTCAACATCAATTAATAATGGACAATAGGCGAGATGTAAACACAGTTATGAAGTTAATGTTACAAGCTACACTAGGGTTATAGTTAAGGGGGTAAGTATGAATCAGGATTGTGTTTTTGCTATTTACATGTAATAATCTACACCAGAGGTTGGTTATCATCACTAGTCACGCAAAACTTCATTAATATATACTTAATTTAATAAAACGCTTAGAGATTTCATTTGGAACACCTAACGTATTCGTTTTTTCTAATTTACCGTCAATGGAGAAAGCCGATATCCATTAGGAGTGTTACAGGAAACACTCCAATCCCAGCTTTCTGACAAAGCCTTTCCTAGCTCTGCCAGCTGTGCTGATCCATTTATGCCAACTGCTTCTCTAGTCCACACTGGAGATTCTCTTTGCCGGCATCCCAGGAATCCCAGCTTTCCCATCATCCAATGCAGTGCAACAGAACACATTCTGCAGTGGCAACAGCTCATTAAATTTTTACACGCTTTCATGTAAACTGGTCCCTTTTGATCATTCCTACTTGTTTTTTTAGCATCTTTAACGCTGCAAAGCTCTTCTAGATGAGCAGATACTAAAAGATAATGATGAATTCAAGATCCATGTGTTTTTAATTTAAACTTTAAGGATGCTGGGGCACTTCACTGACAGTACTGTGGGCGCAAAAGCAAAGAAAAGTTCATGAACAAAAAAAATCACAACAAAAAATATAAACCCACTGCAAACATCTCCATCAGCAATGGCAAAGATAAGAGTAAATATGTTTTACTACTTCACAGTTCCTCAGTTAACACTAAACTCAAGTTTTGATCTGTAACAAAGGGCAATTAGTTTGACAATTATTTTTTATGTCAACATGAGACTAAAAACCCTTCTGACATAGTATGCATACTGTAGTATACCAAGTGCAAGCTTTCTAGATCATAACCTCTTGGGATCAATGTCTGTCTGTAATGACATGGAGAGCTTTACATTCTTTACAACGGTTTAAAACCAATACCATATTTATGTTTTCATACATTTTCATACATTAGAGTCCTTCCACTTTTCAGCAAAACCAGATACAGACCATCCTTCCTGAAAACAAAAATATTTTCTTAAAAGGGCACAGGAATGAGCAGGCTTCCATTTTTGTTCTCTTACATATAATGAGTTCAAAACCAAATAATACGGTGTGAATGTGTGTTTGGGGGGCAGGGGGGGAGTGAATTATAACAGGAGGGGGTTGAATTTAACAATCTGGAAGTAAGTTTCTCTGTTCATCTTAATAAAAATTCCTTTTGACTTGGAATGCTGGGACTGCAGGCCAATTATGGTGACCGCACATAAAACTATAAAATTAATTCCTATTGATCGAAAGGGAAATCCAGGGTAAACCAACAAGAGAAATTTGACACTGAACAA